GTGATTAAAAGATTAGGTGGTTTCGGTGCAAGGCTGATTTTATATAAAAATATATATTGCTGTGTTGTCATTAGGGACACTTATATAGGAAAAGTTTAATTAACCGACAGCTATTCATGAAATGTGTGAAAAGGTCGGAGTTTGATACACGTGGAGTGGGTTCAACTGAGTCGCAGACGTGAACTTTGGAGGCAGAGCATTTATTAAGTTCCAACACACGGGGTAAACTTTCCCCTTAACACAATAACAACCTCCGGTGGTGACCACCCGGCTAACCACACTAGTTACTACACTAGTTACTACACTAGTTACCACACTAGTTACCACACTAGTTACTACACTAGTTACCACACTAGTTACCACACTCGTTACTACACTAGTTACTACACTAGTTACTACACTAGTTACCACACTAGTTACCACACTAGTTACTACACTAGTTACCACACTAGTTACTACACTAGTTACCACACTAGTTACCACACTAGTTACTACACTAGTTACCACACTAGTTACTACACTAGTTACCACACTAGTTACTACACTAGTTACTACACTAGTTACCACACTAGTTACCACACTAGTTACTACACTAGTTACTACACTAGTTACCACACTAGTTACTACACTAGTTACCACACTAGTTACTACACTAGTTACTACACTAGTTATCACACTAGTTACTACACTAGTCACCACACTAGTTACTACACTAGTCACCACACTAGTTACTACACTAGTTACCACACTAGTTACCACATTAGTTACTACACTAGTTACCACACTAGTTACCACACTAGTTACTACGTAACTGTTAACTACGGACCCGGGACCAACAACATCTGCCCGGGTCCACGTGCTGGAAGACTCGTAGATCGTACACGAAGGGTTTCTTTCCCGGGATGAACAACAACCACGATCCCTCTCGGGACTCGGCTTATATTCTCTGCGGCGTGGCCACCTGCGCCCTTGGCCACGTCCACCTTCCAGAACCATCGGGAAGGACCTGGGTACCAATCACGTGATCACCCTAGCCCCCTCTTGGGGACCCCTCTGTCATCTCAACCGGTCACGTGTCCTCCCGGGTCAACCAGAGTGCCATGGTCTCACACGACTTTCCCCTGAGGTCGGGACCACACACCGTGTCCTGTAGGGCCGGCACTGCACTTACAGCGTGGTGACATCCAGCGATGTCACTACACATGTGCCGAAATAAAGTTAGATATTAGAAAAACTGTAGAGGGTTTTAATGTTAGTATAAACAGGTGCCACTATAGTTTTTTACTGCAGACAATTGGAGATTATTTTTAAGGTAAAACTGTTAAAGTTTCATGGATAAAATGTGTTTTTTTTTAGGATCCTGGTAGCTTATTTTTTATATCAAGATTGTGGTGATGGAACTTGTGTTTACAGAAGCGATAGGGATGTACTGTAGACAGTTAGGGTGTATCTTCATGACCCGCTTTAGTAGTTTCCCCTTCTGCATGAAACAAACAAGAAAACACAAATGCTTTAACAATATACAGCGGAAAAATCGCAAATATAACAAAACATGAGTTACTTTGCATTGCAATTTAAACCCGATAAGATTCAGTCAAGACCAATTCAATCCAGTGCTTCAACCATTTGACCAGTTCATCCCCCCCCCCCGCCCTGTGTATTTGTGTAAATGTTTACTTTAGGTCAGCGTTCATTCCACTACAGGTATATATGTACATGTTTGACTCCTTCCCCCCTCTTGTCTGCGCTATGCAAAGTATGGGGTCACGGGTGTTTTTCACCCAATACAGAATTCCTAACCAGCCACGAGGAATGACGCCATTAATCACCCTTAGCTCTGCGGGAAGGGCATGGGGGTGAACATCGTACAGTTGGACGAATGCCATTGGTTTGGATCATTGAGTTTGTTTCCAGGATTGTTATTTTATCTATATATATAAAAGGGAAATTTGTGATTATGTGTGTCTGTTCAAAATGTTTAGCGTACTTCCCGACATGCAACAAACTTGAAATTTGTCATGTGTCGTGTACACCATGCAAAAAATATGAAAATAAACTTTTGTATTTTTTTTTTGGGGGGGGGTGTCGCAATAATGCATATATTTTGCACGGCAAGTGAGCTGTGACATCACATCTGTCATGTCTCCATGCGGAAGCGTCACGCAGTGTGCCTGCTCATGTCACCCCCCCCCCAAACCTCCGCGAGTAAAGAGCCATACAAATGTGTTGCAGGTCTAAGGCGTTCTTCGCGCAGCATTGCTTTATTATTTGAGTCGTTTACTGCCGTACGCACCCTGAAAGTTGTGTGGTGTGTCTGCAGCAAGCGCGTGTACGTGTACCTCTGGACGCGCGCGCGCGTGTGTGTGTGGGGGGAGCGGTGGTGTAGTGGTTAGCGTGCTGTCTGTGTGTGGGGGGAGCGGTAGTGTAGTGGTTAGCGTGCTGTCTGTGTGTGGGGGGAGCGGTAGTGTAGTGGTTAGCGTGCTGTCTGTGTGTGGGGGCGAGCGGTAGTGTAGTGGTTAGCGCGCTGCGCTATGAACCCGGCGACCCGAGTTCGATTCCCGTTCACGGCTACCACCGGTGACGATTATTTGAACCGGTCCTGGGCCTCCCCTAGGTCGACTCAGCCTCAAACGAGTAACTGGTGTGGTGTGTGAACATCGCCACTGGGGGGACAAAGGCGGCCGGGCGTGGTGCTGTCTACCCACACCCTCGTGTGCCGTGCCGGCCTTAATAGGTGCTCGCTAACAGCACTTGCCCCCTACAGTCTCACAGGCTACACGGGGGATTTTTGTCTTTATCCTGTCTGTGTGTGTGGGGGCAGCGACTGCGTAGCGATTCGCGCGCCGCGCTACGAACCCGGATTAGATTCCTGCTCATCGCCACTGGGGAGACAAAGGCGGCCGGGCGTGGTGAATCCAAGTCCCGGGCGAAGCCGGGTAGTAAAGCCACGTGGAGGAATTTAACATGCTTACAGTGCGGTATAAAGTCGCACAATGTATGCGCAGTGTGTTACACTTCTTTCGTACCGTACGTAGCCAAACGTTCGAATCGGAGGTGCGGACAACGGTTCGTTTGCAAAAGTTGTGGCAATTGGTGTTGTGCAATTGGTGTTTTATTTTTTTTAAAGAACCCATGTGTGAAACATCACACTTACAAGGAAATTGGTTCCCTAAGTAATCGGCAACGTATATGCGAAACAACGCAAAGCGTGGCGACTTATCGCGGGGATTCCTGTGTGACAAAGTTTGTTTATGTCAGCACGGGAGGTGGGTGGAAGGGGGGGGCACACCGCTTCCGCCTCTTTGTGACGTCATAATAATCACAAGCACGTGACTATGCATTAACTGGGAGACGATTTTGGTGGCCTGCCTTCACCACGTGCCCACTGTCGTGCGAGACGGCATTCCAATTTAGAGGCTAAACATAAATCAAAGAGTAGAACTGTGTTGAAAATGTAATAGGATGCTAAAACAATTGCCACTATAGTACAGTGGCGATAGAGCCCGTGCTTACACGCAGGAAGAGGCTGGAGATAAACCACGGAACACCCAGCACGTTCCGGAAGCTGCGAGTGTCCTCTGGATTCTCATACAATGTCCCAGCGATCCGACTATTATTGATTCCTGATAACGTATACGTCTTTATTATTATTATTAATGAACTACATCAATGATTTAACTTGACGGCGAGCTAAACAAAACGCTGAGCTTAGCGGTCAAAGTAGGACTATAGGCCCCCTTTGCACAGATAAAGAAGCGTAAGAGGCGCCATGCCAGTCGCTATTTATACCGCCAACGGGGGTGGAGCTGCATTCCCGTGCCGGCTGCCAATCGCGAGTGACAAAGACGCGCACGGAAGCGAAGTGGGGTTGGACGTTTGATGATCATTCGTTTGACGTTCGCAACGGAAGCAACTTGGCCACAGCATTCCAACTGGAACACAAACCGTGTCACCGACCCATTCGGTTTGGGGGTCCTGCATAAATGACGTCACGCGATTTTGGACGATTTTTGGACGATTTTTGACCCGCCCCCCCCCACGTCACACGGCGTCACAAAGAGTCAGACCCCCCTCAAATATGACGTCACAAAGCTCTGCCCCCCCCCCCCCAAATAAAATAAAACATGCTTCAAATCGCTTTAAACTATTGTCATTGTAGTGCGTATTTAATGTGTCGCTGCACTCTGATGTTGTAGGAGAAAACATTTATTAAAAAGTATATTTGATCAAGTAGAACGTGTTGTCTATTTTTATTTAAAGTTGCGCATTTTGATGTGACGTCACATTTCTCACCCCCCCCCCCCATGGTCACGCATCGTCACAAATGTCTGACCCCCCCCCCCCCCCAGGTGCGTGACGTCATTTATGGACGGCCCCTTATCCGTATTCTTGTTCAGGGAAATTAAGCGTTCAGGTCCATACGGCGTTACAGCCATTTCAATACGGGCAAACCGAGAGATGAAATGTGTTTGTGTTTCTCTCTTGCGATGGGACTTAGTAGGATGAACGTTGTGATTTATAAGGGCACGGGGTGACCAATAAGGTCTGAATTGGTCCGTATAAAGGTAGGGCACTGATAAAGGGTTGACAGGTATGGGGATAGGATGGGAAGCACTCGTGAGAATGTGTGGTGCCACCGGTGAAGGGTTTGGCTAAGTTTGACTTTCGTTGCGAAAGTCAAACGAATGTCAAACGTCCGACCAAATTTAAACTTTCCTTCGGTAAGAAACTCAACTATTGTCTCTCTATAACACTGCCTCAGTGGGCGGGGCTACACCCATAGTGGGCGGGGTTACACAACCAACGGGCGGGGATACACCACTAGTGGGCGGGGCTACACCACCAATGTGCGGGGGCAATACCACAAGTGGGCGGGGCTATATCACTAATGGGCGGGGGCTACACCACGAATGGGCGGGGATATACATCTCGTGGGCGAGTCTGTTTCACCCAGTGGGTGGGGCTATATCATCAGTGGGCGGGGGCTACATCACAAATGGGCGGGGCTGTGGATATACAGTCCCGCACACGTGGCCGCCAACCTCAGCACCGTTATATCGCTGCTGCTGCTGCGTCTTGTGACACCGCCACGTGTTTTCCTTCCCTCCACTTCGCTTTATCTCATCTCGCGGCAGGCATCAGGGACGACTGCAGCAGCAGCATAAAGCGACGATAACACAACGCGGCGGTGGGCAGCAGCTAGCCGGAGATACATTGAACAGCACGCGGCACGATGCAGACCGCTTCGGGCATCTCGCGCCGGCCGGCGCTGGGCAAGCATCTGCTGCGGTCGATGTCGCAGACTCTGGCTCCCGGCTGTGGTCGGGCGGCCACCGCGGCAGTCGGCCTCGGGAGGTTCTCGTGCCGGCGGAGCGTGGCCACGGGCTCACGGCTGGAGCTGGGCAAGGCCGAGCCGTCGCCACTGAGCCTCGCAACGCTGCAGCCCAGCTCGGCAGCACGGCCCCGCGATACGTGAGTGGCGGGTGACGTCTGTGTGTCTGTGTGTGTGTGTGCGCGCACGTTATAAACAGTAACATCAGCGGCAGCCTGTGGTCAATCGACTGTTTGGTGAAGGCCTCCCCATAACGTGTACGTTGTCTGACCATACTTCGCCACGGTGGACAATGCGGGTTGGTGCAGCGGAGAAGATTTGGGACCGGTTCAGGTATCACTCGCCACTGATGGTGGCCGTGAGCTGCAATCGAACGTAAAAAAAAAGTCGGCCTCATGACGCAGCCGTCTTGTGTCGAGGCTCAATGAAAATCAGTGGGCGCAGTGGTTACTTTAGCCCACGAAAATAAAGAATCCTCCAACCCGATCGTTCATCATGCCTGAGATGACGTGGGGATATCGGAGCTCATTCTGTCCAAATGTCAAAAGGTCCCGAGTCGCCACTGCACAGAGCCTAGGCTTGAATCATGAGCTTCAAGCCAAAGAAATAGACCAGAGGCTTGTTCCACACACACAGTTCCTTGCTTGTAATTGCCCCTTAGTTCACACTATTTTACTTGGGCAAACTAAGGGGAAACGAGATTGCGTTGTTTATTAATGCAGCCGACCCGCAGGTGCGAGTGGGTGATTCGGTGGGATCAGTGGCGCAGCAGTTTACGCACCGCGCTACGAACCCGGATGACCTTGGTCTGTGATGAGCGTCAGTGTGTGGCACGCGATCGCACGATTTGTACCGGGCTGGACATCCTTAAAGGTCAACTCGCTCTGAAATAAAACGTTGTAAATATTGCCAAAGTGGAGGGGGGCGGTGCAATACGAATGTAGCCGTGCTGACCTTAATGCGTGAGCCCTTAACGTCACTAGCTCCAGCAGTTTTCACGACTCTGTCGGGGAGATTAAAAAAAAATCGACAGTGTGAAGTGCAGCTGGTGTATGAGGAATTCGCTCGGGCTAGCGCAGGGGTGGGGTAACCTTTCAAAGAAGAGCCACGTGTTTTTGTTTTTGTCTTTGACCAAAATAGTTTGAGAGCCGTATCGCACGCACAGCCACTTGAACACGAACATAGCGAGCAGCAGGCATACCGGAGATGACGAATACACATTGTGACTTAAATAAACGAAATAGGTTTTTTTTTCTCCATTTAGTTATTCTTTAACAATGCAGTTTCACAGGTCACTTTTTTTGTCACCGAGACAGTGACCCATTCCCTGCCATTTTTAATCCATTATTTTTGCGTTAAATTACGTTCTAAGATTCACGGTTTTTTTTTTGTAAACACCTTCCCGTAAAGGGGCAGCCAACGAGCCGCAAGGGGGAAGGCAAAGAGCCCCGGCATGAGGTTGCCGATCCCTGGGCGAGTGTGATGTGCATTATCCATGACGCCAGGGAAGAGGTGGGCACATTTTTTGACTCACGGGCCACAATGGGTTCTAAAATTTGACAAGAGGGGCCGGGCCAGGAACAGATGGATGGAGTGTTTGTGTGAACTCATATAAATGACATGTAAAAATCATTACATGAAAGGATTTGGCCTTTAACAGGTAGCAAAGCATTTATTTGCAAGGCAATTTAACAAATTGCACGAACATGAACAATACAAAAACATGTCGTAACTCCCGGTCAAAGTGCGCTATCTAATGGGGAAATGGGGGCATTACAGGAGAAAGGTAAAATTTAATTTAATAATAATATTTGGACAAGTTCGGCGGGCCGGATTAAAAAGCCCAACGGGCCATACACGGCCCGGGGGTCCAGGGTCTACCCTGGCACCACGTGTTAACGAGTTTCCCCCCACTACATGTGTCCTCTCAAAATGCACCCAGTCTGGCAGAAGCATTCTGGCAACATCGGAGTAACAGAGACCATGCTAAAGAGCTCTTTCCAATGGACACATTCGAGTTGCCGTCAACATGGGAATGTGGCATGCCCACTGCAGCTCATGCCCTTCAATTGAGAGCATAACCCAATGCCCTTTGGATCAGGACCATGCTTTAAATGTACAGCTCTGACTCATCTGGTGAAATTATGGATGGATATTGAATTCATCTGACTGGTACATTTGTGCAGATCACTTTAATGTGATTGCAGTTGAATGTGTTTTTGCTGCCCACTCTGTATAGCCCAGCTGGCAATCTTGTGTGCACGACCACATGGGTCCCTATCTATTCCCATCGTTATGTTTGATTAGTTATGGAAGCAGGGCACACAGCCAGTCTAAAAATGGATCGTTTTAATAATTATAAAGTGTGCATGGATTTTCTTTTGTCATGCCTCATTCAGACCACTTTGTGATATGTCCCAGTGCCCACACAAGCATTGAATGGCGCATGCCTGTCGGTTTACCATTTCGAGTACTGGAAATTCCACATTCCTATGGCAGAGCCAGTGTCTTAGCCCAACTGTTGGGGGGCAGTTTGCATGAAGCAACCACACCTGACTGCACAAAGTAACGGTGACTCCAGAGTGATGAGTTGACCCCTCCAACCTGGGATTGAAACTTCCCACCTTGCTGTTGTGAGACAAGCACTCGAAGCACAGCACCACGAACATCAGATGCTCCACATGACTAAAGAGATACTGAAGATAGGCACTGCTGGAAGCCAGCCCTGCCAACAGAAGAAGAAGAAGAAATTGGACAGGATGGGACTTGGTGGTGGTTCAGATTAAAGGACAAGCAACACGTCCTCACGGATACATAATGGGTCATTGCTTTTCCACGGTATGGATACACACTTCTCGCTCGTATTATTTGTGCAGCGTGCCCTTGGCTGTCTACCTTGGAGCGCTGCCCACCTTGGAGTGCTGCCCACTAGTGCTGTGTGGAGTGATGTCAAGTGGAGCATGTTTAGTAAACCGTTTATTTTCTCAATTTCTAAAATAAATATAGAGTCGCAAGCCCACACTAACATCTCAGAGCAGATGGACGCAGCTTTGGCCACCAGTGTTGAGCATCATATTCAGAAATTGTCGTTAGAACGATGATGTGGAGGGCACGATTGACGGATCCTATTACCTGTGTTTACCAGGGAATCATTTCTACTATCTGTGCGGTTGTCCTCGGATAAACGGAGATAACAGAATGATGGTGATGATGGCAATCTCGGGGCTGAGTTGACCCTGTGGCTATTTCACCTGGGATATATCCTAGCCATTCACAGCGAAACTCCTTTTATCCGATTTGATGTGGAGGGCTCTAGGGGTAGATCCTATTATCCACATTGTTGTCTGTGCAATAATGCCCAGTGTGGCACGGGTAAACACGGATAATCGATTGAATTTTACACCACTTCAGGATCACCCCTTTTTCTTTTCACAAAGGCTCGCATAATAGGATGAAGTGAGAATGTGTCAGCGACCACTTCTGGGTGACTTACCCACGGATGATGGGAAGAGTTTACCAACACTTCTCAGTTACTCCTCCTATCTGTAGATGGCGAGTATGAAGTATCCACTCATAGGCAACATGATTTTACACAAATCGATTGGGTGCCCTGATAATACAAGTATTGGAAATCCATGCCTCTGTTACAAGGAGTTTCACTGTACAGTACTTTAAAAAATGTTTGCCCAAGCTGGACTGCTGATCCAACACCGTTGAGATCCTGGATTCCTGAGTAGTCACACGAGATGTAACCAGACACCCGAGTCGATGGAGTTGGAAAAGTCAGCCGAGCATCTCCACCAAGACATGAATCACTCGGAGACCAATTGGGACATGCTTGGTGTATGATGACAATTGAATGTGTACTCCAATGTCTGTCGATTAACTGTACCAAATCTTACACAGAATACTGTTTAAACAGTAAAAACATGTTGAAATCTTCACCTGACGTAAGTCAACGAAGTAGTTACACTTCTTTTTACTCATTACCTCTATAAATGCAGTCAAAACATCTTTGCACAAAAGTGTCATGGTCGTCATTGTGGAGAATATAACAAAATAATTCAGCAGACTGTTTATATGACAATATCTGTCCATCCACACCAAAAAAGCCCCAAAGTTTCCCATCAACCACAAGGCCCCTCTGGGAATGCACAACCACAGCAGCACATGAACGGACTGTGGACGGGCTTTGACACACAGTGGGTACTGGGAAGTGTAAAGAATACTTTTGTCTTTTGCGTGATGGGACAGATGTGTGGAGATATATTGTCTGCCTATTTTTTTATTTTTTTAATGGCATTTTTTTTCATGGACTCAAAATCCCTCTTTAAATATCTAATGCAGGAGTATTACATTTATCCAGCTGTTTTGTGGCACTGGTTGAGTGCACTTGACTCACAATCAGAAGGTTGTGAAGTCAAATCCCAGTCAGGGGTAAACTTTTAATCTATGATTCCTCAGTGTTGGATATAATATGCACCGATATGAGAGGCAGCAGTTGCATGATGGAGATAGCAGTGTAGGATAGCGTGGGTAGGATTTGCTCAAAATTGACGACATATTTATCCCTCTAAGACCGAAACATGAGGATTTATCCACAAGTCTGGCTGTCGCCTGATGCTGCTGGTTGTAATTACCAGCGAAACCTCGTACTCAAATTGTAAATGTTGTGGGTTTACTCTCCAACACACCGGTGTGCTAAACTAGTAACGAATTGGCATGTTTTGTTTACCTGACAAGCCGTACTAATTGGCTGTATCGGGTGGTGGCGGGTTTAACGACACAGTTATTTTTATACGATCTAATCCAAAACCTGTTTTATGGAGATAACGGTGTCTGTCATAGGAATTGGGAATTTTCACCACTGGCTTTGGGCCACCTGTGGAGATGAGCATCGCCCCAATGCTTCTTAAAATCTTTGACTTTAATAAATTTTAACAACACAATTGAGGATTGTTTAAATCTAAATTGATAAATGATGCAATATGCACGTTTAACACTAATCAAGGAATCGGCCAATGATCCCAATGTAAGAACGTTTTTAGATTTAGCGAGGCTTTCTTGGGTAAGCGAAGGAGTGTTGTTACCAATGTTTTGTGTTGCGGGCACACTTTGGTGACATTCACAAGACAGCAGAGGTTGGCCTTGACTTTGAGTGCACGTGGCATGCTTTGGAAGGCTGTGCAACAGGCTGCACTGATGGCTATAAATTGCCTGCAGTGATGCGCTGTAAAGTAACTCTAGCATGGCCACACATGGCCCAGTGTGTAATGTGAAGCCACTATGTACCCAGCCCACCAATCACATCCCTCTTTTTTACAGCAAGGGTCTGGGGACTCATCAGACTCAAACCCACATCTGTCTGTCTGTGCTATTGGTAGACACTTTCAAACGTCTATCGTAAAATGAAAAAAAAATCGTAATAAATATAACACGCTTAATGTTCATTTTAAGGGTTTGTTTATACGCGACATGTTGTATATACTACACTAAATGGATAAAATTGTTCAACCTTTAATATCTATTAGCATGAGTTTTACTGAATTATGCTACATTTCAGCTTGGAGCTACATTGCACAACCGTGAGAACCTATGCAGTAGCATACAAGGCATCGTATCTGAGTGAGCTTATCAGATTGGTTTATGATGAGTATACTTCTTATTGCTGATAGATAATCTAGCGCACTGAGAGTGGACTTGTCTATCTGATGCATTTGTTTTAATGTGCAACCAAAACTCTGACCACAATCACAGTACAACGGAAGATTACAGTGCAATTCAATACTTTTTTTAATAGCATCAACCTACAAAGATGTAATCTCACACAATGAATTGGATGACCAAATTTTTTTTTTAATAAATAGACATCTTGACACCCAGTCACTGCCAATGTAACCGGCAATTACCTGGCTGGAAATACACAATGGCTGTCCTGTCTGCTATTCCACGTTGCCCGGAGCTTTGGTGACAATGTTCCACAAGCCGCCGCGATCGACCGGACATTCGTCTGGCCCTTGAGTCGCCCGGTTCGACATGAAACGATGCTCTGCTGGGGGTGGAAAATTCAAGAGTGGAAATTCCACGGACGCATTCGAAAATAGATTTTGTTGCGCTAAATTTGGAATCGGATGCAGAGTCATGCTTCCAAATACAATTCCACTCATTTCCACTAATTTCGCACGGATATTGCTGATGAACATTATTTGATCACGGCAGTTAATGGGTATTAATGGATATTAATTGCAGGAAATTTATTGAAGAATTTTACGAAGAAGGCTCCAAATTTTGGCGAATGTGAAGTTTGAGCAAAACGAAAGTTATTTACAAATTCGCTGAACAGAATTCATTAGTTGTTGGAAGGACACAATTGGAAAATACATCAATTAAATGAGTACGGCTTTGTGAGAATTAAATGCTGACTGTCCTATGAACAAATTGGCCTTCGCCTTAGAAATGTGGAATTTCCATAGCAGAAGAGCAATGCCCAACAGTCAACGGAGAATTGATACTTTCCATATTTAAGTGCATTTACACACACTTGCTTACTTTTTTGTGGCTCTGCTGGATAGCTCTCCGAAGTGTATTCGGGCTGTATGGCATATTGTCTCGCTTGACATCCGACGTTTCTCGTGGAGATGAGGCTTTGGTTCCTGTAAGATGCTCTCAGCGTGTGGAGTGAAACCTCAGACATCATATTCATGGTTCTTTCGGTAAAGTCACGTAGAAGGGAAACAATAAAATAATAGAAATATAAAACAATAAAATTCTCACGACGTTTCGACTGCAATACAAGCAATCATCATCAGGTGTGAAAACCACAGCAAGAACATTTCTTGCTGTGGTTTTATATTTTTATTATTTTATTGTTTCCCTTCTACGTGACTTTACCGAAAGAACTAAGAATATGAATCCCTGCAGTCACGAAAGCTTTAAATGAAACCTCAGACATCATGTTAAACAACAGAGGCCACAGCCTGATAACACACCTCAGTGCTTTTATTACATATTTGTAATTGTTTATAGATGACCTTTTACACTTCCTGTTTAATTGCAGCCGAGACTTTTGCTTGCATCATTTATCAGAATAGTTCAGCTCTCCAGGGGGGGGTTGGGGAGAATAGAATTGTGGATCATTGGTAAACTGGGTCAGCGTCGCGTGTTCCAGCCACTCGGCCCACCAACCTAGCTCAGTCAAAGTTCACTGCTGTTGTGCTTCTGTTCACCCAGGAAGAGGGGAACACGTCTTTTGCCCAAGCTGGAGGACCTGCTGTTCGACACCATCGCAGAGGGACAGGACAAGATACCCATCGTGAAGTTCATCACCGTGCGTAACTGCCCCGGCTGACCCCCAGTGGCATATTTGCCGTCAGAGGAATAGATTCACCCACGTGAGCAAACTGAGCTCTGTTTGGACGCGTAGCGATAAAGATACAGGGGGAGACCCCCGACTTGACCCAGTCCCAAAGTCACACCACCCAAAAACGGTTTTCAAGGACCAGATTTATCTGTTGAGTTGTTGCAGAACCACCCCCATGCAAAATGTTTGGGCGTACTCCCAATACTCAGTCCCACCAGCAGTACTCGCAGTTCAAGTCATGCGTAACATTATTATCCGTGCATCATTCCATTTGACTCTGCGGAAATGATTCGCCCATGGGTGTTTAAAGCCTTCCACAGTTTTGGTTAATGTTTTATGAATACAAAACCCATTATCACAACGTTTGGGTAAAGAGTGATCCATTTGACCTTGCCACTGGTCGAAAGCGTCTGTGTTTTTCACACCAACTGATGGCAGCGAGGGAGATGAAAGGAGAGTGCAGACAGTCGCATTGCCTGGCTGGGTTGTCAGCTTGCGCATGTCGATGTGACGCACTGTCGCCATGGGCGAACGTGATTCCGGTCAACATAACCTGAACGTGCCATTCAGGTGAACGTGAGTATCACACGGCGGGGGCGGGGGTGGGGCGGGGAGCGTCTGTACGAGCGGCGCCCACCACGGTGTCCCCGTGTCCCCCTCAGGCCCTCAAGGCCACCGGGCTACGTCCGTCGGACCCGCGCCTGCGGGACTCTATGACGACGCTGCGCAAAGCGGTGAAGACGGCGTCCGAAGGGGTCACCCTGGACAAGGAGCTCTTCCGGAGGTGATCACCGCCGGCCGCGCACCGAGAGGTGTCCCGTCACTCACAGTATGTGCGTGCGGGCGCCAGGCAGTCCGGTGGCTCTGGACTCCATTTAACCCCCTCCCGTTCCGATGACGTACGCGTTCGTACGTGCACGTCATCCGTAAGAGGCCATGCGGGGAGAGCGCACGGCACGGTTTGGCGCCAGCTATCGTAGAGTGCGGTCGTGTCGCTGCAGTTCTCTGCGGTGAGTACAACGGCGCTACGCCTGTCTAAATAATGTAACGCTGAGCCGCTTGTGCGTTCTGAGATTCAGCGGTGAACGGGACACCACGCACCCTGCGACTTGCAGACGTCTCGGAATGGAGAAGGGTTAATAAAGATGGCCGGATGGCTTGAGAGGTCAGAGCGCTGGGCTGGCACCGTTGGGGACGAGGGTTTGATCCGGGCAGCCGTCTGATTAAACCGGACTCTCAAGTGGAGTGAGTTGATGTTCTCAGGCTGAGGAACATTGGACATCACTTCGCACAACACACAGTTCAATTCACACACACAGAGCAGGGAGCTGTACAGCGTAACCGTATATCTGATGTTTCAATAATTTAAATTGTTGTTCTCTATGCGGGTGTCTGCAGACACCTTCCACATTCCACAGCGACTTTGGAATTCGCATAATTACATACACTCTGTGGAGAGAAACAGACAATCACGTGACAATCGTGCCTTGGTCACTTCACAATTATTAGTGGGGTGATTTATCCGCTTGGTCAAAACACGTTACGTGTGTTTACTGTGTGTCCCGCTGAGTTAAATGTCCAAGGTCAACAACATGCATTTGTTTTTGCAGTCTAACTCAAAGCTGAGTGTCCAGTATCCCATCGTCAGATATGGGTAGACGCTTCTGTGTGATGTTAAAACCCCCTATCGCGTTGCGTTGTTGTGTAATGGCTTAACAAAATAAGCATGTTAGGATTTACGAGGTCTTGTAAATTCCGCTCCCATGCTGTCATACATTAACATCGCTGCTATAGAATACAAATCACTGGACTAAGTGTCGAGCATTAACTGCGCGAGTGTGTTTTCTCTCGTACGAAGCGCAGCTCTAGACCAAGGGGTCACCCTTGCCGATTTTTATTTATCCGCACGCCACGAGAGTTTGCAAAACTGAAATAGTTGTTTGACCAATCACGGTGCACGCAGCGAGCCACACCCCAGGTAGTTGTTTGTGCTGCCCACTGGGCGTTTGTGGGGGCGTGCATGCCCCGCCGGTGCCACGTGGCTCTGATTGTTCTGTGCTTGGCTATCAGTTGAACACGTAGGTTTGGCGAATTTTGCGCTACGAAACCCAGAGACCCCAGTTCGATTCCCACTCGCGGCCAACACCAGTGACGAGTATCTGAACCGGTCCTCGGCCTCCCCTAGATCGACTCAGCCTCAATTGAGTACCTGGTGCGATGTGTAAAAATATTGCCACGAGGGAGACAAAGGCGGCCGGGCGTGGTGCTGGCCACCCACCCTCCACGTTGCGTCGCAAGTTGAACGAAATAAGTTTGATTCCTTGTCGAGGGTATCCATGACTATTGTCTCTTATCGTACCCTCTCACTTTGTCTTAATGATTAGCCACTAACAAAACTAGCCCTGACACAAGCTAGGCTATACACTGGATTTGTACATTCATGCCTGCGTACATATGCATGTGTATGTGAGTGTATGCATGTGTGGGATGTGGTGATGTGATGGTTGGTCAGCACATTATGTTACGATCCTGGCGACGTGCGCTAATTTCCTGGTCACATTTCACGTCGGTGGCATTTGGTCGTCTAAATGCGGTGCGGCCTTCCCCCTCGGCTGTAATCGATGCCTCGCGCGACGTGGGATCATCAGCACTGGGGCGACGCAGATAGCCCAGGCGGTGAACGGTGCTCGTCACACAGCCCGCCCTCTAACAGCTTCTTGACGACGGTACATGGCCCCGACGGGGACTGGAAGGATACGAGCGGAATTATTTTATTTGTATGCGTGTGTGCGTCTTTGTGCATGCGCCCAAAGCTTGATGTGCAGTATTAATATTTTATACCAATGTGCTATTTTTATACTGCACCGTACCATGGGGGGCGGGCGGGGGGTGGAGGGGGTGAGGGTAAAAAAAACCTGCAAGATTTTTCAAACCCGTTAAAGGTCACAAACACTCCCAACACCATGCCCAAGAGCACGACTCGTCGTTAAACGGTTGTGGTTACTCGATGCCGATTGTTCTGCTGCAGTTTTACGGAATGGCGAACCCCATCCTGGTGGCTCGATGAATTAACGACGAGCCGCGGTCGTGCGATTGTGGCCATGCAACCCAAAGTATGGATCTTGGAGTCAACCACGATAGTCTGCGCTCCTTCAACTGAGGAATAGCAAAACTAAACCGACTCTCCTGAAGCCCTGTTGTGGCTAGCGGACCTCGACGTGGTCATTTAGCTCCTGAACGCAAGAATAGAATATAAATTGTTACAGTTCAAGTGCAGATTTTGATTGAAGAATCGATTCTGTCGTTAACATTGTGCTGAATGGCGAGGCTGCAGTGGTGGCGTGTATCCATTAGATGCGCAAATTTATAAAACGTAAAGCACTAATCGTCACACAAGCAAACCGATGCACGCATAGCAAGCTTCAGAATATATATCCACCGATGAATAGATGCCGTTGTTTCATCCCTCTTGCGGCTGTGGGTTCATGCTGAGGCTCCTCGAATGTGCCAACGATATCCTATGCTTACAGCGGGAAACGACGTCCACTCTGCTGCCCATCGATTTGTAAGTCATAATCCCTGATTACGAGGCCTCGTGTCTCCCCAGGTGCGTGAGCAGCAACATCGTGCTGCTGACCCAGGCGTTCCGCCGCAAGTTCGTCATCCCCGACTTTGAGAACTTCACGGCGCAGGTGGACAACATCCACGAGAATGCGCGGGCGCTCACCTGGGGGAAGGTGAGCTACCACCCTCCTCACCTGGGGCAAGGTGAGCCAGCCACCATGCTCCTCACCTGGGGCAAGGTGAGCTACCACCCTCCTCACCTAGGGAAAGGTGAGCCACCACGCTCCTCACCTGGGGGAAGGTGAGCTACCACCCTCCTCACCTGGGGGAAGGTGAGCTACCACCCTCCTCACCTGGGGCAAGGTGAGCTACCACCCTCCTCACCTGGGGCAAGGTGAGCTACCACGCTCCTCACCTGGGGCAAGGTGAGCCAGCCACCATGCTCCTCACCTGGGGCAAGGTGAGCTACCACCCTCCTCACCTGGGGCAAGGTGAGCCAGCCACCACGCTCCTCACCTGGGGCAAGGTGAGCTACCACCCTCCTCACCTGGGGCAAGGTGAGCCAGCCACCACGCTCCTCACCTGGGGCAAGGTGAGCTACCACCCTCCTCACCTGGGGCAAGGTGAGCTACCACCCTCCTCACCTGGGGGAAGGTGAGCCAGCCACCATGCTCCTCACCTGGGGCAAGGTGAGCTACCACCCTCCTCACCTGGGGCAAGGTGAGCCAGCCACCACGCTCCTCACCTGGGGCAAGGTGAGCCAGCCACCACCCTCCTCACCTGGGACAAGATGAGCCACCACCCTCCTCACCTGGGGCAAGGTGAGCCACCACCCTCCTCACCTGGGGCAAGGTGAGCCACCACCTTCCTCCCTGTGTGGGCCAAGTGGAAGTGCGTACTTCGATTCCCCACGTGCAAAATGCCCGTGAAGCAATTGGCCCAAAACCTAGAAATGCGGAAGCTTCCTGAAAAATGGTACGCAAACTCTCATCATGCATTGTGGAGCCTTGTGAGTAAAGCTACGTCAAGCGAGACTACGGTGTGTGCATCCCCATGTAAGCACAAATGTTTTAGTCCACTCGCCCGTTGGCTTTCGAGACCGATATTATCCAGCGGCATTTGTTGAAGTGAGCAAACTTTTGCACTGGTTTTGACTCGTGCAGACGTCGGCTGAGTCAGGTTTCTTAAACAGATGCTGCTGAGTTACCAGACGCAATTGGCAAGAGCACTCCGTCTAAACGATGCAGTTCAACTCAAAAGCAACATTGCATGCAAAGTCACTGTCCGTTGTTGTGGGGCATTATGTGTAAATGGATAATATTAGCACAACTCTGTTCTATGTCTGCACATTGAATTAAATATTCCCAGATATGGAAAGCCATGAAGCTGATGGACTCAATGTATATTTGTATTCGTGTGCGGTTCGTGTGTATTTTTGTAGAGCTGAACACACTATTACCTGGCCGGGTGGCTGTTATTTGAGAGCTCTGCTTGCAGATAGAATGTTCCGAGCCGAAATCCTGGCCAGCTTATCATTCTGCAACATTGTTATGTGGAGAGACTGGTTCCCACCATAGGAATGTAGAGTATATTTCCACCACTGGATCAGGACTGCCAACAAAGATAAGCACCATCCAAAGGTCGTTTAGGACTGGAGACACATTTACTGACTGTCCATGGGACAGCCAACTCAAGGCAACTCGAGTCCGAGTTGCATCGATTTCTCCAAGGGCTGATGTTGTAGGGCAATGCAGTGTGATCAGGAGATTACGCATCGTTTCCATTATGTTCTGAGTTACTCCTGTTGTGAAACCATTGGGTGATACTTTTTCAGAGTCTGTGAGTTAAAGGAGCAAGACCGCTTGATTGAATGTTTAACGAAATATTCCTGCCACCTACAACATATCTCACTGTAACACACAGGGTGACTTAATTTCTCTTAGCCATATTTCTCATGTAGGGAATTCAGGGCAGCTGTGAAGTGAGACCGGCCTGGAAAATCGAGGCTGCAGCCTGATTTTGTGCCAAACAATTGAGTTGTCAAAAAATTTGGAAACTTACGAGCCGGATGACAACTTAAGTTTAAACTTCAGTTATGGCCTCGTGGGAACTATAAATGTGACTTTTACGGCTGTCCAGACCTCTTTAAGTCAGGATCTAAGCAATGTTGGCTCAAGGCACTGACGTGCTTCTTGTTCTCTGAAGCTGCATAGACACCTCTTGTTGTATTCTCCGTCTTTGTGTGTGGGTGTTGTCGTGCATGCTGGATGCAGGTTGCTGACTATATTCCACAACTTGCAAAGTTCAGCAAAGACCTCTGGGGTGTCTCCATCTGCACTGTGGATGGGCAGAGGTGACGTTTTGAATGTAAAATACTTATTTGTAGATAAGGAGCAAGCCTCCTCGCTTTACTTGAAAATTCCCCGTAATTCTTCAGGGCATGGCTGATGTATACATTTAACCGGACGTTATTTAACCAGAGGAAAATGTGTTCGATGCATTGTTTGTTTTGCTGTGAATGTAAAAAGTGAGGATGGTTCTTAAGTTTTCCAAGTCTTCTTCATATTTAAGAGCATCTCCTTGCTCATCACCATCGGTGGCTATGAAAAACCACAAGAAAATATCACATTGGATCCAGTCTCAGTAAAGTATGACCACTATTTTGACTTACTATAAGGTGGCACTTATTTTATCGACTTATTCGGATGATGGGCTGAGTTAACTCCCACGTAAAATCAGATACAGGTTTGCCTTGCTTAATGTAGTACTAGTAGATGTAGTACAGTGAGGGAAAAAAGTATTTGATCCCCTGCTGATTTTGTACGTTTGCCCACTGACGAAGAAATGATCAGTCTATAATTTTAATGGTAGGTTTATTTGAACAGTGAGAGACAGAATAACAACAAAAATCCAGAAAAACGCATGTCAAAAATGTTATAAGTTGATTTGCATTTTAATGAGGGAAATAAGTATTTGACCCCTCTGCAAAACATGACTTAGTACTTGGTGGCAAAACCCTTGTTGGCAATCACAGAGGTCAGACGTTTCTTGTAGTTGGCCACCAGGTTTGCACACATCTCAGGAGGGATTTTGTCCCACTCCTCTTTGCAGATCTTCTCCAAGTCATTAAGGTTTCGAGGCTGACGTTTGGCAACTCGAACCTTCAGCTCCCTCCACAGATTTTCTATGGGATTAAGGTCTGTAGACTGGCTAGGCCACTCCAGGACCTTAATGTGCTTCTTCTTGAGCCACTCCTTTGTTGCCTTGGCCGTGTGTTTTGGGTCATTGTCATGCTGGAATACCCATCCACGACCCATTTTCAAGGCCCTGGCTGAGGGAAGGAGGTTCTCACCCAAGATTTGATGGTACATAGCCCCGTCCATCGTCCCTTTGATGCGGTGAAGTTGTCCTGTCCCCTTAGCAGAAAAACACCCCCAAAGCATACTGTTTCCACCTCCATGTTTGACGGTGAGGATGGTGTTCTTGGGGTCATAGGCAGCATTCCTCCTCCAAACACGGCGAGTTGAGTTGATGCCAAAGAGCTCCATTTTGGTCTCATCTGACCACAACACTTTCACCCAGTTGTCCTCTGAATCATTAAGATGTTCATTAGCAAACTTCAGACGGGCATGTATATGTGCTTTCTTGAGCAGGGGGCCCTTGCGGGCGCTGCAGGATTTCAGTCCACGGCGTTGTGTGTTACCAATTGTTTTCTTGGTGACTATCGTCCCAGCTGCCTTGAGATCATTGACAAGATCCTCCCGTGTAGTTCTGGGCTGATTCCTCACCGTTCTCATTATCATTGCAACTCCACGAGGTGAGATCTTGCATGGAGCCCCAGGCCTAGGGAGTTTGACAGTTCTTTTGTGTTTCTTCCATTTGCGAATAATCGCACTGTTGTCACCTTCTCATCAAGCTGCTTGGCAATGGTCTTGTAGCCCATTCCAGCCTTGTGTAGGTCTACAATCTTGTCCCTGACATCCTTGGAGAGCTCTTTGGTCTTGGCCATGGTGGAGAGTTTGGAATCTGATTGATTGATTGATTGCTTCTGTGGACAGGTGTCTTTTATACAGGTAACGAGCTGAGATTAGGAGCACACTCTTAAAGGGAGTGCTCCTAATCTCAGCTTGTATAAAGACACCTGGGAGCCAGAAATCTTTCTGATTGAGAGGGGGGTCAAATACTTATTTCCCTCATTAAAATGCAAATCAATTTATAACATTTTTGACACACAGTACACGCAATACACACACACAGTACACACACAGTACACACAGTACACACACAGTACACACAATACACACACACAGTACACACACAGTACACACAATACACACACAGTACACACACAGTACACACAGTACACACACAATACACACACAGTACACACACAGTACACACAATACACACACAGTACACACAATACACACACACAGTACACACACAGTACACACACAGTACACACAATACACACACACAGTACACACACAGTACACACACAATACACAGTACACACACAGTACACACACAATACACACACAGTACACACAAAGTTCACACAGTACACACACAATACACACACAGTACACACACAGTACACACAATACACACACACAGTACACACACAATACACTGTGTGTGTACTGTGTGTGTACACATTACACACAGTACACACAACACACACATAGTACACACAGTACACACACAGTACAAACAGTACACACACAGTACACACACAGTACACACAGTAGTACACACAGTATTACACACAGTACATACACAGTACACACACTACACACCACAATCTTGTCCCACATCCGGCCGCATAGCCGCACGTGACTGAATTCAAACCGCATCTAGCGAATTTTGGGTAGAAATCATCGGTAAGCCGCATTTACAGCGAGGAATGGCACAATGAAAAACTCGCATAGAGCGGGGGAAACCTGCAGTAGGAGTTTCACTGCACCTACATGTACGGCTCTTTTGTCAATCCATTGCTGATTGAGGGCCTCCCCATGCCTTTTGGGTCAAGGGGGTTATTTGACCATACTTCACCGTGCTGGTCAGGTCAGGTTGGTGAATCTGAGAGGTCCAGGTTCAGTTCAGATATCACACTCCACTGATGTTATCCGTGGCCAGGAATCGAACTCAGGTCACCAGGTTCACGGTTGAGTGCACTCACCACTCGCCGCGCCTCCACGCAGCCCACTGCAATATTAATGAGCCAGTAAATGCCAACGGCAATTACAATGGAAATATTTGTTATTCGATGCTACAAGTGAGCGTGTGTGTCCGTGTGCGTGTGCATGCGAGTGTGCCTGCGCGTTTAAGCTTAGCACATGACCGTTCAGGCAGCATAGGAGCCAAGTAATGTTAGCTATTGGGCAACAAATGTGTTTGTGAATCTTGACTTTTGCATCATATACAGCGTGCCAACAGTGAGGGTTCCTGTCAAACACAGAATTATGGTTACTCTACCGTGTGGGACACATTATCTCTGTTAGATAACATCATGTTTTGGCATATACCGATTACTGACAACTCACCCAGCACCAAAGATTATTAACTTCGGTGTTCGCTAATAGTGTGCGGGGTAAATATAATAGATGCCAGTCATGTTTCAACGCTCCGAAGCCAAGAATTTATTGTGGCTGTTTGGCTGAAATGTTCAAACTCACAGCAAGAAGGCTTGCGAGTTCGATCCTTCGGTCACCTAGAGCCCCGCCAATCCTTTTGGCGAGTTTAAAAAAAACAAAAAACGGGTGCCACCTTTTTTTCTAGGCGGTCAACGGCGGGTCATCCTGTGAACAACAAAAAAAAAGAACTGGGCCCCCCGCCCTAGAAACTTCGACTTTGGCGACGCTCACTCGCGGCTGCCAGTAGCGACTCGTGCCACCGGCATGCGCCCGTGTGAGCGCGCCAGAAGCGTTGCGGATTGTAAAGTTGTAATCGCTCGCAAGAGTTATCGCGAGGTTTACGTCGAGCGAACTGCAGCTGCTAACCTTTCAGCAATGTCTGTTCGTACTTGACGTACGCCAAAAGCGCAAAAGCCAGGCTATGCAATTGTGTTTCGCGCAGTTGCGGAGCTTAGGCAAACGGATATGGCGAGAATTGTCACGTCACGACAGCCATCAATGTGTACGCGTTGGACTCCTTTTGCACCGAACGCAGCCAGCCGTGATAATCGGAGGTGTGGCGGGGGGGGGGAAGGACAACAAACTAAACACAAAAACACGTTCCTGCGGAGGGAGCTGGTAGGAACGTTGGGTTGCTCGGTCAATGGCCGGGGTAAACGGTGGCGTGGTCCATAATAAAGGTTTTTGGGTTAGATCGCGTTATTTATAAATGTGTCGTAACCCTCCACCACCTGACACGGCCAATCAGCAAAAAAAAGTGTCACGTTGGCGTGGTGTATTCCGCAAATATGCCCGACTGTGAGGGCGGGCACAAGCCGGCGTGAGTAGGTTAAATGTTGAGTTTTATAAGGGCACCACGGGGTGACCAGCCCCTCCCCACCCAGTCCCACCCCTCCCACCCAGTCCCACCCCCCACCCTCCCCACCCAGCCCCACCCTCCCCACCCAGCCCTTCCCCACCCAGCCCCTCCCTTCCCCACCCTCCCCAGCCCCTCCCCACCCTCCCCTCTCCACCCAGCCCCACCCCTCCCATTTTATCCGGGTTTCCGGATACACGTGGACAGACATCCACAGACATACACAATTAATCCCCTGCCTCCTGTGAATTAATCCCGGTTGGGCTTCCAGTCCACTACGTTTCCTACTGGTAATGCCCACTAGGAGCACATTTGTTATATATCCGGGTGTCCGGATACACGTGGACGGACATCCACAGACATACACAATTAATCCCCTGCCTCCTGTGACTTAATCCCGGTTGGGCTTCTAGTCCACTACGTTTCCTACCAGTAAAATGTAAAACGGTATTAACTCTTTGTGATGGCTGATTCGGACCATAATCTGGCAGCTACACCCAACCAGCGCCGACAGCTGATCCCTGGGCTGTGAGGACAAATTCGTCTTTGGCTATGGAACATTGTTTTTTTGGCCAGTATCAAAGATTGAAAAATAAGAATAGGTTTTACCCTTTCTGGCAATGAAACAGGAGTTAGGTTAATATGTTCAAACACCAAATAAATACCTTTTTGCAACGAATAAATTCTGCATTAACCACAAGTGCTTGTGGGTAAAACGTGCGAACAAAACTGCTCTGACAGAATATGCAGTGTCTTTGCCACTGATTGGCCGACACCAGACAGCCTTCTTTGTCGTCTCACCATTGTCAGACCCAGAGAACGGCAACAGTGCAAAGACAGTGCATGCATCAGCGCCGTTTATGGCTCGGGGTCTTCGTAAACGGGGGATCTCTTTTTTCACTCCAGGGCTGTCCTCCAGACAGTCTCGTCCCTTCACCTGATGAAGGCCGCTTGTGTTGTGGCCGAAACGTCGTGATTTTTGTTATTTTATTTTTTACCTACGTGACTTTACCCAATAGAACCTAAGAGTATGGATCCTTGCAGTCACGAAAGCTTTAAATCTAGGATCTCTCGCGCGTCCGCCAGGCACTCGGCGGGCGACACCAAGTTGCCCTTCTGCCTGCAGTCGTGCGTGAAGCCTCTTGTCTACTCTGTGGCTGCCAACGAGCTGGGCACGCAGCACGTGCACCGATACGTGGGCAAGGAGCCGAGCGGACTGCGCTTCAACACCCTCTCGCTCAACGAGGACAGTAAGGGCCCGACACCCAGCGTGGCAACCGCAGTTGCCGCGATTGAATGTTTTTTTTTTGTCCGATACCGTGTAACGTTTTTTGTTTGCGTGGTTGCCTTCGTACGGTGCAAAAGAAGTTTGTACGTGCAGGGTGCGTCAAAAAAATGTGAACGCTTCCGAGAGTTTGCAACAATACCGGGGCTCTGCAGACTACCTGGAGAAGACTCCAGGCCACGTGTTGACAACGGTGGCGGAATAATGGAGACTCTTTGACTTTTTGAAGCTATTAACGTACATTTGTTATCATGTTTCAGTGTATTACCCGTTCTTATTACATGAAAAACGATCGTCCCATGTAAGTGTTAACATTGTTTTTAAGCACCCTGTATATGCACCGCGTGGCAACCAGAGTTTCAACGATGCCCTTTTTCACGATACCCTGTGACTTTTGTTTCGAGTTTCAGTTTGTTGTCCTTCCCCGCCGCACCTCCAATTAGCACGGTTGGCTACGTGTGGCGCGAACTAAGTTCGACATGCACACATTGACCGTTGCCGTGACTTTACGATTCTCGCGATATCCGTTTTTTTCTAAACTCCCGTAATTGTGCACCACAACTGCATCATCTTGCTTTTGCGCTTTGACATACTTCAGGCACGAATAAAGATTGCTGAAAAGTGAATGACTGCGGTTCGCTCAACGTAAGCCTTGCGAATAGGTCTTACGGATGATATAACTTCGCGACCGGCGGCGCTTATGGCGCGCGCGCGTGATGTCAGGACGGAGGGAAGTTTGCCAGCCGGATGGTTTAACCGTAGGAGGCATCAACACAATGGATGTTTTTTTTTTCTTCATAATTACATAGGAGCTTTCTTCCCGTAGCCAGAGAAGCCGTTTGATCGTGCCGCTTGTGCCTCTGCCTGTGCTTGTGCAGACAAACCCCACAATCCCATGGTCAACTCGGGCTCCATCGTCATCACGTCCCTCATCAAGGTCGGTGTGAGTTCATCGCCGGCGGATTCGGGCCATCGCGTAGAATAATCGGGGATTTAATTCGTGGCCAGACAGCCGCATGGACTTCTCGCGTGCGTCTGTGAGTTTCAATTCCAGCAGCACTTCTAAAAGTTTTTTTTTCCTTCTCTGCTTTCACAGCAAGGAGCCAGCACAGCAGAGAAGTTTGACTACGTAAGTAAGGGGGCGATTTCCCTACACACCTCGGAACGGTCACGGCGCGCATGTTTGTTTAATGCAAATCTGTGAAGTTCGTGCGAACGTGGTCAATGATGCTTCACTATAACTTGACGAATGGCTGACCATCGTAACCGTGGCTTTCACCAAAACTAAATTGGTCGAATATACCTCCAACGGACAACGTTTGTAAATGCACGGCACATTGACGGTGTGCCGTCCACTATACGTACACCGCGTGGAGGAGCGTTGCCGAATGCCACGCAGGTTTTTGCGGCTGTGCTGTGCGGCTCTCCGATGCGTTTTTGGGGTTGTTGGGCCGCATGCTGCTCGGCGGTGATGTTCGATGTTTCGCTGCACGCACTCGGAGATTTCTTCACTTGGTTGCTGAAGAAGCTCCCAGCATGGCGAGCGGAACGCCATCCTGAACAAGACGCAGTAAAAGCCGAAAACTTCATCCAGACAGCTGTGGGCATTGCATAACATTTGCGATGCCCGTGTAATTGAAGTGACATTGAGCTACGTGGTGCTGTGCTTAGAGTGCACGGCTTACAGTCAAGGCTTTGAGTTGAAATCCCATTTGGGGGTCACCTCAGCCTATCATCCCTCTAGGTTCGATAAAATTATGAACTGCTTTGTGGGAAATCAACAGTGGTTGTTACTGTTGTGTTCCCCTCCTTGTGTTGTCACTGTTGTGTTCCATCCTTGTGTTGTCACTGTTGTGTCACCTCCTTGTGTTGTCACTGTTGTGTCCCCTCCTTGTGTTGTCACTGTTGTGTTCCATCCTTGTGTTGTCACTGTTGTGTCCCCTCCTTGTGTTGTCACTGTTGTGTTCCATCCTTGTGTTGTCACTGTTGTGTCACCTCCTTGTGTTGTCACTGTTGTGTTCCATCCTTGTGTTGTCACTGTTGTGTCACCTCCTTGTGTTGTCACTGTTGTGTTCCATCCTTGTGTTGTCACTGTTGTGTTCCCCTCCTTGTGTTGTCACTGTTGTGTCACCTCCTTGTGTTGTCACTGTTGTGTTCCCTCCTTGTGTTGTCACTGTTGTGTTCCATCCTTGTGTTGTCACTGTTGTGTCACCTCCTTGTGTTGTCACTGTTGTGTTCCATCCTTGTGTTGTCACTGTTGTGTCACCTCCTTGTGTTGTCACTGTTGTGTTCCATCCTTGTGTTGTCACTGTTGTGTTCCCCTCCTTGTGTTGTCACTGTTGTGTCACCTCCTTGTGTTGTCTCTGTTGTGTTCCCTCCTTGTGTTGTCACTGTTGTGTCACCTCCTTGTGTTGTCACTGTTGTGTCGCCTCCTTGTGTTGTCACTGTTGTGTCACCTCCTTGTGTTGTCACTGTTGTGTCCCCTCCTTGTGTTGTCACTGTTGTGTCACCTCCTTGTGTTGTCACTGTTGTGTCACCTCCTTGTGTTGTCACTGTTGTGTCACCTCCTTGTGTTGTCACTGTTGTGTTCCCTCCTTGTGTTGTCACTGTTGTGTCCCCTCCTTGTGTTGTCACTGTTGTGTCACCTCCTTGTGTTGTCATTGTTGTGTTCCATCCTTGTGTTGACACTGTTGTGTTCCATCCTTGTGTTGTCACTGTTGTGTCACCTCCTTGTGTTGTCACTGTTGTGTCACCTCCTTGTGTTGTCATTGTTGTGTTCCATCCTTGTGTTGACACTGTTGTGTTCCATCCTTGTGTTGTCACTGTTGTGTCACCTCCTTGTGTTGTCACTGTTGTGTCACCTCCTTGTGTTGTCACTGTTGTGTCCCCTCCTTGTGTTGTCATTGTTGTGTCACCTCCTTGTGTTGTCACTGTTGTGTTCCCTTGTGTTGTCACTGTTGTGTCACCTTGTGTTGTCACTGTTGTGTCACCTCCTTGTGTTACTGTTGTGTCACCTCCTTGTGTTGTCACTGTTGTGTCACCTCCTTGTGTTGTCACTGTTGTGTCACGTTGTGTTGTCACTGTTGTGTCACCTGTTTGTGTTGTCACTGTTGTGTTCCCTCCTTGTGTTGTCACTGTTGTGTTTGCACAGGTAACAGAGAACCTGGCCAGGATGGCCGGACACGAATACATTGGCTTCAGCAATGCCACGTGAGTGTTTTGCGTTGCGGCGGTGGTAAATGGTAAATAGCGAGGCATGTAAAGGCATGTAAATGCCACTGGTAAACCCTTTGCGGTGTCACGTCACTGGCACCGGGCCCCATGTTTCCAACAGAGGAGTGGAATCGATCGTTGTTGAGTGTCTACTTTGTTCCGTGGGCTCTTCCAAATCAATGTTGCATTGAAGCATTTGTTTATACTGCATAACCTTGGACCTGTTAAAGCAATGTCAGTGGGTGGGTGCCCCGATGTTGTGAACATTAGGAAACTGGTTCAAGGTTGTCATGTTTAAACAAGTGTTCCTGCATTTAGGCCCTTTGGTCAATAAACATAATGTTGTTTCCATTCATAAGCCACTCCGTTGAGCGATCATTTGTGGCCGGCTCGCTTCTGAAAAAGAGTAAAAATAAATCGTTAAAAAAGGCCTCTTATACTCAACCACCTTCCGCAAGCCACTATAGTCACTGGTGATCGAATACCAGGGATGATCAAAATCCCCTGGTCTGACACGTGTCATTGCGTTTCAATCCGTGTCACATGGCCTCATTGATGCATCACTCCAGCCTGCTGTGTCAGAACATTGAGAACCTGGGAAATCCGCAATGAAGTTGTTCATCCTGCTCCTGGAGAATGCTGTTGCATGCGGCAGTGTTCAGCTTCTGTGTTTTGTGGTTTAATTCCACGGCCGCGATTGACCATCTTTACTGTGCAAACTACGTGACGATGCTGCTGCTGCTGCTGCTGCGTTTAGCAGTGGTGCACAAACAACGGCATTCTCAACCCTGTGTGTCAACAACACTCGCCTTAAAAGGAAAAATGCGCTATGAGCAATGTTTCAGGCAATGGTCTTCGATGAAAATAAATTGTATTTTATTATTCAAAAATATTCCGTACTTTACATGATCACATACGGAAGACAGTATGAGATCGTTTTCTCCGATTCTGTTGCATGTAAGTACGTTTGTGTGTGTTGAACTTCTTTCGCACCGTACGTAGCCAACCGTGCTAATCGGAGGTGCGGGTGAGCGGGTGCTCTCCCATGTGTGCCTGAGTATTGGTCGAGCGAATGAATCGGTCGATCTCGCATCGATTGACGACATCACGTGAACTCGGTGGACGACAAGGCATGTCAACGCTATCTCCTGCCCGTTTAATATATCTCCTATTCGTACACGCTGCCTCCTGTCCGTGCACCACAGCTTCCAGTCCGAGAGGCAGACTGGGGACCGCAACTTCGCCATCGGCTACTATTTAAGGGAGATGCAGGTGAGGAGTTGTCCTTGGGCGAGCGTGGAGCTCGCCAGGCACGCGGCAACGTCACAGATGCACGTGCAAGGTTTACAGAGGGCACGTAATTGTTCATCTATACTCAGCTATGTGATGCTTTTTGTTTGTTGTCCTTCCCCCGCACCTCCGATTAGTGCGGTTGGCTACGTACGGTGCGAAAGAAGTTCAACATACATGCATACATATCTTGTGTTTTGGATCCAGGATTCTTCCTGCCACTCAAGCCTAATTGCTCGCCTATCCGCTGACGAACTTCACACGGCCACCACGGAAACTTGAGTGGGCTACACAGTCCCGGTTCATCCTTGCGCTGTCCGAGTCGGGGGAGAGGGAATTTGATTGGTGCTCGCGTGACATAGGGATGAGGACTTTGGCATAGGAATGTGGAAAGTGCGCGCCGAGGTCGTGAAGGGGACGTTGCGGTGAGCGGGGACGCGCGCGGCGGGAGCGAGGAGGGCAGCTTAGCGGGACAGGCATTGGGGTGGCACCCCAAACGTTGGCGACCAAGGGGAAGAGACCCTCCCCCTGGACGTCGGCCGCTGCTCTGCAAAGCACAAGTGTGGCCCGGCGTTGGAGAACCGTTGCCGCGTCCGGATTGCAGTGCCGAGTTTTTAGCGGATCCTTTGCAGAGACCATGAAGATAACAGAATGGAACATCGGTCTAACACGTTAGGCTTTCGCGACCAACATTATTCATAGTAAAGGTTTTTGGGTTAGATCGCGTTATTTATAAATGTGTCGTAACCCTCCACCACCCGACACGGCCAATCAGCAAAAAAGTGTCACGTTGACAAAAGACAAATAGTTCACTACTTTAGCCCACCGGTGTGTTGAAGAGTGAATCCATTCGGCAGAATGATGCTGGATTTAATTTGCAGAGAATTGCTCGATGATGCTGGATGTAATTACCAGCGAAACGTCGTACTCAAAAACTGTAAATGTTGTGCTGGATTCACTGTTCAACACACCGGTGGGCTAAAGTAGTGAACTATTTTATCTTTTATATTCTTAGTTTTTTCGGTAAAGTCACGTTGAAGAGAAACAACAAAATAACAAAATACATATAAAACAATAAAAAATTCTCACGACGTTTCGACCATAACTCAAACGGTCATCATCAGGTGTGTCGGTTTGCATAAATTTATTTAGAAAACGGCATATTTATTTATTTATTTATTTAAAAATATCGTTTGCGTCACGCGCAACAATTGGCTGTTTGCCAGGACTAGTCCATCTATTTTTTGAAAAGAGGAGGGGGGAGACGAAATTTGTTTTTATGTATGCTGTCTGAAAGCCACTGTAAGCGTGAACAATCAATCAAGAACTGAAATGATTTATCAAATCTTTCCAATGATTGCTAAGATAGAATCCATCTTCTCGGTTGAAATTGTCTCTGTGTTTGTATATGTGGATAGCCTCATGAACGAATCTCTCATGGAAGCCAGATGGCTTACAAAGAACCTCCGTCTTGGAAAAGTCAATGGCATGTGAGCCTACTGAATTAGAACAATGATCTGCTACGGCCGAGGTGTTGGTCCTACCGTGTTTAAGGTCTGCTTTATGTTCACGAATGCGGTCCGAGATATGGCGTTTGGTTTCTCCAATGTAACTACTACCACAGAGGCAACTTAGTTTGTAGACACCAGGGTATTGTATGTCCGGAATCACATCTTTTACAGACGGAACCAGATCACGGATTTTATGTAATGTGTTGAAACGGACCTGGATCTTGTGTTTATTCAAGATTTTGGAGATCTTTTTTGTGATCCCAGCAATGTAGGGTAAAGTGATGGTTTTGAAAGGCTCCTCAAGAGGGTTCTTCTTCATGGTTTGAGTGATAGCTTTGCGGATTGTATAGTCGGAGTAACCATTAGCCCTAAGAGCTTGGTGTACGTGCTTGAGTTCACAGCTTATGTGTTCCTGGTCAGATATGCATTGGGCTCTATGATACAGAGTCTTGATGAGAGAATTCTTCTGTGATGGATGGTGGTGGGAATCCGGTTTCAGATAAGCATCCGTATGGGTAGCTTTCCTGTAGACAGAGTGGCTCATTGAACCATCAGGTCTCTTTTTAATTAGGACATCCAAAAAAGGTATCTTGCCATCTATTTCGACTTCCATGGTAAATCTCATGGCTGGGTGTATGGAATTGATGTGGTCGAAGAATTGGTCTAGAGCAGGCCGGCCATGTGGCCAGATAACAAAAGTGTCATCCACGTACCTCTTCCATAAGGTTGGGCGCAGAGTGGCAGTCTGGATGGCGTCAGTCTCAAATTTCTCCATGAAAATGTTAGCTATAACTGGAGAAAGGGGGGAGCCCATTGGGGTGCCCTCAGTTTGTTTGTAGAAAGTTCCATTCCAAGTGAAGTATGTATTGGTTAAACAGTGTCTCACCAGGGGGGGTACCTCAGTGTTTAGTCCTTGATGAACCAAGTCTTCAATGATTGCAATGGTGTCAGGTACAGGAACCTTGGTGAATAAGGAAACTACATCAAAACTGACAAGCAGGTCGTCTGGGGACAGGGAAATACCCTTGATTGTTGATACCAGGTGAGTAGAATTTTGTACCGCAGAGGTGGTCTTTCCAGTGAAAGGACGCAGGATTTCAGACAAAAAACGAGCTAGTTTGTAGGTGGGGGAGCTGATAGTAGAGACTATGGGACGAAGAGGTGTATCAACTTTATGTATTTTTGGTAAGCCGTATAATCTTGGTGGCCTGGCAGCAGAAGGTTTCAACGAAAACTGTTTAGATTGATCAATTAATGCGGTTGAATCAGAAATTATTTTGTTGGTTTGTGTGACGAGGCTGTTGGTGGGATCTCTTTTTATTTTTGTATAACTACCATCGTCGAGTAATTCTTTAATTTTGTTGTTGTATTCTATTTTATCCATGATAACAGTAGCATTGCCTTTGTCAGCTGAGAGAACTACAATATCATTCCTCTTTTTTAATTTATATAATTCAAAACGCTCATCTTTGCTGAGGTTGCTAGCTGGCATCTTAGCGTTTTTGAGGGTTGCAGCGATTTCAGATCTTGCTACGTCTGCAGCGATGTGACCCAGGCCCCTGAGAGCAACGTCTACTTGGGCAATTATATCATTAACTGGTATGTGTTTAGGTGTGACTGCAAAGTTTAGACCTTTAGCTAAAACGGATTTCAGACCATCGGAAATAGAACTGTTACTGCGATTAATTACGACTTTATTAACGTCTAACTTTTTGGTGTGTGGGTCCGGTCTTTTGTTGAAGAGGAGGTTAAATTTGGAAATCAGGTTTTCCTTACATTTGGTCGACATAGTAGCAGCTGAAGAGGCAGTCATATTGTCTACATGTTCCCAATCCGATGTGGACATTATTGCCGTCAATGATAAGTGTGATTTGTAGAGTGTCTTGTCTAACTGATCTAGTTCTGTGCGTATAAGTCTGATTTTTTCTGAGATAAGAGCTAAGCTAGTTTTGAAAAGAATTCGTTTCGCATTAGAAGAAGTTACAGTAGCAGAGGTGAGTGTAAATGCGATTGGTATTACCCCAGAGTCGCGGCATCTCTTCAGGAAGGTGAGAGACTCGATCAGCTGAGCTTTCTTATCCCGGAGTTTGTTGAAGGATCTTAAAGTTATGTGAAAACCCTCCCCGTAGAGGCGATTAAATTTTGATTTAAAGCTTTCGTGACTGCAGTAATTCATATTCTTATTTTTTTCGGTAAAGTCACGTTGAAGAGAAACAACAAAATAACAAAATATATATAAAACAATAAAAAATTCTCACGACGTTTCGACCATAACTCAAACGGTCATCATCAGGTGTGTCGGTTTGCATAAATTTATTTAGAAAAGGCATATTTATTTATTTATTTATATAAAAAATAACGTTTGCGTCACGTGCAACGATTGGCTGTTTGCCAGGACTAGTCCATCTATTTTTTGAAAAGAGGAGGGGGGAGACGAAATTTGTTTTTATGTATGCTGTCTGAAAGCCACTGTAAGCGTGAACAATCAATCAAGAACTGAAATGATTTATCAAATCTTTCCAATGATTGCTAAGATAGAATCCATCTTCTCGGTTGAAATTGTCTCTGTGTTTGTATATGTGGATAGCCTCATGAACGAATCTCTCATGGAAGCCAGATGGCTTACAAAGAACCTCCGTCTTGGAAAAGTCAATGGCATGTGAGCCTACTGAATTAGAACAATGATCTGCTACGGCCGAGGTGTTGGTCCTACCGTGTTTAAGGTCTGCTTTATGTTCACGAATGTTCTAATTCAGTAGGCTCACATGCCATTGACTTTTCCAAGACGGAGGTTCTTTGTAAGCCATCTGGCTTCCATGAGAGATTCGTTCATGAGGCTATCCACATATACAAACACAGAGACAATTTCAACCGAGAAGATGGATTCTATCTTAGCAATCATTGGAAAGATTTGATAAATCATTTCAGTTCTTGATTGATTGTTCACGCTTACAGTGGCTTTCAGACAGCATACATAAAAACAAATTTCGTCTCCCCCCTCCTCTTTTCAAAAAATAGATGGACTAGTCCTGGCAAACAGCCAATCGTTGCGCGTGACGCAAACGTTATTTTTATATAAATAAATAAATAGATATGCCGTTTTCAAAATAAATTTATGCAAACCGACACACCTGATGATGACCGTTTGAGTTATGGTCGAAACGTCGTGAGAATTTTTTATTGTTTTATATATATTTTGTTATTTTGTTGTTTCTCTTCAACGTGACTATACACGAATAAAATTAAGAATATGAATTACTGCAGTCACGAAAGCTTTAAATCAAAATTTAATCGCCTCTACGGGGAGGGTTTTCACATAACTTTAAGATCCTTCAACAAACTCCGGGATAAGAAAGCTCAGCTGATCGAGTCTCTCACCTTCCTGAAGAGATGCCGCGACTCTGGGGTAATACCAATCGCATTTACACTCACCTCTGCTACTGTAACTTCTTCTAATGCGAAACGAATTCTTTTCAAAACTAGCTTAGCTCTTATCTCAGAAAAAATCAGACTTATACGCACAGAACTAGATCAGTTAGACAAGACACTCTACAAATCACACTTATCATTGACGGCAATAATGTCCACATCGGATTGGGAACATGTAGACAATATGACTGCCTCTTCAGCTGCTACTATGTCGACCAAATGTAAGGAAAACCTGATTTCCAAATTTAACCTCCTCTTCAACAAAAGACCGGACCCACACACCAAAAAGTTAGACGTTAATAAAGTCGTAATTAATCGCAGTAACAGTTCTATTTCCGATGGTCTGAAATCCGTTTTAGCTAAAGGTCTAAACTTTGCAGTCACACCTAAACACATACCAGTTAATGATATAATTGCCCAAGTAGACGTTGCTCTCAGGGGCCTGGGTCACATCGCTGCAGACGTAGCAAGATCTGAAATCGCTGCAACCCTCAAAAACGCTAAGATGCCAGCTAGCAACCTCAGCAAAGATGAGCGTTTTGAATTATATAAATTAAAAAAGAGGAATGATATTGTAGTTCTCTCAGCTGACAAAGGCAATGCTACTGTTATCATGGATAAAATAGAATACAACAACAAAATTAAAGAATTACTCGACGATGGTAGTTATACAAAAATAAAAAGAGATCCCACCAACAGCCTCGTCACACAAACCAACAAAATAATTTCTGATTCAACCGCATTAATTGATCAATCTAAACAGTTTTCGTTGAAACCTTCTGCTGCCAGGCCACCAAGATTATACGGCTTACCAAAAATACATAAAGTTGATACACCTCTTCGTCCCATAGTCTCTACTATCAGCTCCCCCACCTACAAACTAGCTCGTTTTTTGTCTGAAATCCTGCGTCCTTTCACTGGAAAGACCACCTCTGCGGTACAAAATTCTACTCACCTGGTATCAACAATCAAGGGTATTTCCCTGTCCCCAGACGACCTGCTTGTCAGTTTTGATGTAGTTTCCTTATTCACCAAGGTTCCTGTACCTGACACCATTGCAATCATTGAAGACTTGGTTCATCAAGGACTAAACACTGAGGTACCCCCCCTGGTGAGACACTGTTTAACCAATACATACTTCACTTGGAATGGAACTTTCTACAAACAAACTGAGGGCACCCCAATGGGCTCCCCCCTTTCTCCAGTTATAGCTAACATTTTCATGGAGAAATTTGAGACTGACGCCATCCAGACTGCCACTCTGCGCCCAACCTTATGGAAGAGGTACGTGGATGACACTTTTGTCATCTGGCCACATGGCCGGCCTGCTCTAGACCAATTCTTCGACCACATCAATTCCATACACCCAGCCATCAGATTTACCATGGAAGTCGAAATAGATGGCAAGATACCTTTTTTGGATGTCCTAATTAAAAAGAGACCTGATGGTTCAATGAGCCACTCTGTCTACAGGAAAGCTACCCATACGGATGCTTATCTGAAACCGGATTCCCACCACCATCCATCACAGAAGAATTCTCTCATCAAGACTCTGTATCATAGAGCCCAATGCATATCCGACCAGGAACACATAAGCTGTGAACTCAAGCACGTACACCAAGCTCTTAGGGCTAATGGTTACTCCGACTATACAATCCGCAAAGCTATCACTCAAACCATGAAGAAGAACCCTCTTGAGGAGCCTTTCAAAACCATCACTTTACCCTACATTGCTGGGATCACAAAAAAGATCTCCAAAATCTTGAATAAACACAAGATCCAGGTCCGTTTCAACACATTACATAAAATCCGTGATCTGGTTCCGTCTGTAAAAGATGTGATTCCGGACATACAATACCCTGGTGTCTACAAACTAAGTTGCCTCTGTGGTAGTAGTGTAGGGGTGCTATGGGGAATAAACACATGACACGGGAAGGTGTGGTTCACCCACACCTTGGTGGCTACAACAACGTCCGCTAAGGCTCCAGTGGGTATAAAGTGCGGGGAGCCAGGGAGCTCGGGGCAGAGTGTGGGGCCCGAGGCTGAAGCAACCAGTGAAGAAAGAAGGCCAGCTAGGTGAGACCCTGGAACTCCTGTGACCGCTGCCCTTTTCAGGGCCGGCACAGCAAGCCAGTGGTGCGGCCCCAGAGCCCCAGAGTCAGAGTCCTTCTAAGGGCCGGTCTGGTCGGCGGGGTGCCGAGATCTGTGCCTAACCAGGGCCGGATCTGATAGCCTCCCTTAGAGCCCTACCAGGAGGAACTGGGAGCCTAGAGCTTAGGCTAGAGAGCCTGGGGTGTGTTCCTGAGTTATACGGGTGGAGGGGCCGCTACCCCTTCTAGTGTAACCCTTGTTAAGGTTTAAATAAATAGTGCTGCTTCTATTCTGCCGTCTCCGTGTCCTGGAACCCACTACAGTAGTTACATTGGAGAAACCAAACGCCATATCTCGGACCGCATTCGTGAACATAAAGCAGACCTTAAACACGGTAGGACCAACACCTCGGCCGTAGCAGATCATTGTTCTAATTCAGTAGGCTCACATGCCATTGACTTTTCCAAGACGGAGGTTCTTTGTAAGCCATCTGGCTTCCATGAGAGATTCGTTCATGAGGCTATCCACATATACAAACACAGAGACAATTTCAACCGAGAAGATGGATTCTATCTTAGCAATCATTGGAAAGATTTGATAAATCATTTCAGTTCTTGATTGATTGTTCACGCTTACAGTGGCTTTCAGACAGCATACATAAAAACAAATTTCGTCTCCCCCCTCCTCTTTTCAAAAAATAGATGGACTAGTCCTGGCAAACAGCCAATCGTTGCGCGTGACGCAAACGTTATTTTTATATAAATAAATAAATAGATATGCCGTTTTCAAAATAAATTTATGCAAACCGACACACCTGATGATGACCGTTTGAGTTATGGTCGAAACGTCGTGAGAATTTTTTATTGTTTTATATGTATTTTGTTATTTTGTTGTTTCTCTTCAACGTGACTTTACCGAAAAAACTAAGAATATGAATTACTGCAGTCACGAAAGCTTTAAATCAAAATTTATTTTGTCTTTTGTCAACGTGACACTTTTTTGCTGATTGGCTGTGTCGGGTGGTGGAGGGTTACGACACATTTATAATTAACGCGATCTAACCCAAAAACCTTTATTTTGAAGAATGGAACATGCCCTCCGCCAAATGCCCTGGAGCGTGAAGATACTTTACGTATCTGTGTTCAACTTCTTTCGCGCACCGTACGTAGACAACCGTGCCAATGGGAAGTGCGGGGGAAGGATAACAAACGAAACACAAAAATGAGTTTGAAAGAAATGGCATTCATCGTTTCTGTTCACGTAGAGGGAACACGGAAGAAATTGTACAGTTAAAATCACCGACGAATGTTGTTCGCTTTGTCAATGAAAGCGTGGTTACGGTATTGGTGGTGTCGTTAACGAGTGCGTCTCTCTTTTTACCACTTCTAGTGCTTTCCTGAAAACACCGATCTGACTGCCACCCTGGATCTCTACTTCCAGGTTTGATTGCACAGGGAAAGCCGTCTTGCGAAGTTATGGGAAAGTGTTCGTTCAGTATTAACTTAGCAGTTTAACACGTAGGCTTTCGCGACCAATATTACTCATGATATCGTTTTTTTTGGGTTAGATCACGTAAATATATAAATGTATTTTTAAATCCGCCATCACCCGACACATCTAATTAGTCAGGTTTGTCACTTAACCAAAACATTCCAATTCGTTGGAGAGTAAACCCACAATATTTATAATTACCTTAGCAGTTTAAACTTGAGTCATAAGTGTCAGACTAGTCGATGACAACTTATGTAAATGTATCAGGGGCTTAGTACGTGGATCCCATGTGGTCCTCTTTCATCTAGTTGACTCAAGCAGTCATATAGCTTGCCCGCTCTTCGTGATTCAACGCTCCACTGGACTGCCGTCTTGAATCATGATAATTCTCCCACTGCGCATCTTCATTCCGAAGAGTCAATTTCGTCTCGTCACGATCAGCTCACTGTCTTTGGTGCGTAGTAGTCGTAGTCTCCGTCATGATTTTCGTCCACTCACAGTCATCGTTGATCGGAGTAAACCACAATTTGCGGACGATCACAATCGTCGCCGATTTCCGTAATGAAGTTAACCCTGCGTTACGCGAGCCTCGGGCAAAACCCGCTCGCGTCCATCGCCCTCCCACCTCGTCCCACCTGACAACCCCCTCTTAGCCCATAACCAATGAGCGTCGCAGTGTCATCACGTTGCCTCGGCATTCCGTGGATACGCGCACGCCGTGGAAAGCGGCGACGCAAGGCAATTGGAGCCCCCGTGGCTCCTGCTGAGTAAGTCTGATGATGCCTGGCGCCTCCCGCGCGTGCGGTTTTTGGCGCCCCGTCGCGCCATCCCAGATATATTTCGTCACGGCGGCAGCGGCGGCGGCGGAGGTTTGGATTACGGTGCCCTCCGCTTCGGAAAGTGTAAGCTCGGGTGGCGCTGCGATGCGAGAGACCGAGCCAGCGTGCCGCGTCTCGCCCCCTTCTGGCCTCGCGCAGCCGATGAGCCGATGGGAGAATCTTGATTTTGTCGAAACGCCAACGGGGAACGATTGCTGCATTCGCGTCGTGGGTCGTCCATGAGCGCTGTTGGTCTGCTGAATTAAAATAGTGGACCTAAATGGGAAAAAGACAAGTTTCTTGAAGGGTCCATTTAAACCCGTTGGCGAATCCGCAGCGATTTGACTTGACCTGACCGTCAAGTGTTGCTTCACTCAAATGAACATTGCGTGAGCCAATGCTGGACATTCCACATGCTTGTGATGAGGGCCACTTGACCTTCCACAGAGTTATCTTTATAGATTGTCATTCTCAAGAATTATATTTCCCACGTATCCTGCTACAGTGAACCGTTTGCTGCATGGCCGTCAAACTTTAACCTCCAGACCTGGAATTTAACAAATTAACTCGGATGAAACATGATGTGTGTTATTGTGCACTGTATCGGTTACCCCGAGCTGAGACCATCAACCCGGTACACTTTAGAACCCAGTTTAACCGCGGGCCGCCGATGCCCGAATTCAAACCGAGGAAGTCAACCGGTGCAGGCTCAGCGCTCCGACGGCTGAGCCAGCCGGTCACCTCCATGCCACCGCTTTAACGTCACGGTGCCCCCTCCCCCCCCACCGTGAACCGGCGCTGCCCCCTTCTGCCGCGAGCTCGCTCACCCCCCCCCCCGCCTCCACGTCTCTCCCCCGCCGCAGCTGTGCTCCATCGAGGTGACGTGCGAGTCGGGCTCCGTGATGGCCGCCACGCTGGCCAACGGCGGCATCTGCCCCATCACGGGCGAGCGGCTGCTGAGTCCCGAGGCCGTGCGCAACACGCTGAGCCTCATGCACTCGTGCGGGATGTACGACTTCTCCGGCCAGTTCGCCTTCCACGTGAGTCTCCTGCGATTGCGCGCGCCCGGCATGATAATGATAATCATGATAATAGTTACGATTTATCTTCGTGGTTCTTTCGGTAAAGTCACGTAGTAGAAGGGAAATAATAAAATCATAAAAATAAAACATAATATGATAAAAAAAAATCTATCGGAATTTAGTTACGATCTGTTACTTATCGCTCGTTGGCCCAGGAGAGCCCCCCGTGACTTATGCACGAGGGTCCTGCAGAGTTTTTTTTCACGGTTGCGGGGTGATGTTGCTGCTGCTGCTGTGTGGAATCCCCAGATTTTGAGTGATTTGGAGGTAATGTTTTAGCATTGGGATGTGTGGCCAATACCTCCGATTAGCACGGTTAACTACGTACGGTACGAAAGAAGTTCAACATACACACACAGAATTCCAGTTGCATCGTGTGTGTGTGTTTTTTTAGCGATGGGAAGAGACCAGAGAACCCGGAGGAAATCCACGTGTTGAACACGGGGAGAATGTCGCAATTCATTCTTGTTTTTGCTGGTTCTCTTTTGTTTCTGTCTCATTATTATGGATTAATTTGTTCCAACAGCCTAAGTGTAATGTTAACATACAATCATTTATCGATACTTTATTATTTTTTTTACGTTTTTAGTCTTGTCCCCAATGTTGTTCAAAACGTGCACAATTCCACGCACGCTAATAATTGAATCGTTGAATGGCAAGCGCACACAGTGACGAGTTCCCATCATTACTTCATTCTCACTTCAAGTTGCCTCTCTCAATTAGACGACCCGAGAGGGACAGTGGTGGCCGAGTCGACCCCTGACCAGAACGAGAATTTGCGTCCTGTCGATTGTGAAGTCAATCGCTCTTAACCGTAGCGTCACCCTTTCCTCAGCGCCAAACACGTGCTCTTGTCCTCGTCGTCAAGAGCTCGGGATAACGTTGTACGAAAACTGGAAGCTCTCCGGTGCCCAGTGGAAAATTGTCGAGACGCAGTGTGGCACGGCTGGGACAAATTCTTTGCCTTGGAATCTCGTGGTTTAAATCACTCGCGCAGAGATCCCGGCAGAGGCGCAGGGTTGATGATTCAACTCCGCAAATAAGTTGACCCCTGATTAGCTACGACTGCTCTCGCGACCTTCATATTTCTTTACGTGGATAAACAAATGATGCAACATATGCTACGGCCTTGGCATTAATGCACATTAATAGTTTCGTATTTTTCCAAACATGAGCGATGCGAACATTTGTGAATAGTTTTAAATGTGCTTTCATATGTCCGGGTCACACTGTCGCAGAACACACGACAGCCATGCAGAAGCCTACGAGTTTACACCCTGATTTGGGGTGACTCGGCCCGTCATCACTTTTAGGCAGATAAAATAAGGACCACTTTCACTTTGTATGACGTTAATAGCAAATTTCCTATCAACAGACTGCCATTTTTTTCTGGTAATACAGTTTTCATCTATTTATTTTTTACTGACAGTCTGAATTCATAACCTTACAGAGAGCGGTTATATATTTGTGATTTAAATGTTGGGAACTTATCTCTTGTATGCTTAGGTTGTTTTTGTAAATCAAAAAACCCTGAGTGATTTTCAGCAGTGCATAACAGGAGCATTTGAAACAATCGCAGCCGAGGTGCCGGTGTGCACCGGCTAGACTCTCAGATGCATCTCGATGCGACGGCATCTCAGGTGCATCTCAGGTGCATCTCAGGTGCATCTCAGATGCATCTCAGGTGCATCTCAGATGCATCTAGATGCGACGGCATCTCAGATGCATCGGGCAGCATGGGGAGGCTCGGAGGGATGAGAATCGTACGATAAAATCCGCACCGCGCCAAGTGAGAGCGCGTGCATGTAGGTTTATCAACCTGGCTGACACGTTGCAAGATAATTATAGTTATTTAATAATAGACGATTCATTTATGGATACCGTGTATGATGCAATATCGTTTCCAGTGTACATTGTTTTCCCAGTCGTGTCAGGCGGTGCGCGTTGCAGATTGCTCGGCCTCGCGATCGGAAAGAGCCTCGAATTAAAATCGCAGTCCCCCCAACGTCGAATTATCCCATCTGAATGCCAGATTTCTTTTGTTATCATGGCGACTATAATAGCACACTGCATGGTGTAGATTTAGATTTGGGGTGAGTTGAACAATGGCAGATGCCTGCACGAGGTCCGGATTAATGCCCAGACCAGGTTTAGATTTTAATTGCCCTTGGTATTGTTCAACGTGGCCTGGAATTTAACATAGTTCGCTGTGATTGTAACATGGTGCGATTGACCACCAGAACCACCACCACTGGGCAGACACACGCTCTGCAACCTGACGACCCTGCACCGGTAGAAGTGATTTGCGGGAGGAATTTGGAACCAAAAATAGTCCCCCAGGGACGTGGCTGAAAGTGTCTCTTGTGTCGGCCGACGCACACGTGGCATTGCTGAAGTACCACTCCTGGGTTCTGGCTAAAGCTACAGTACGATTCCGTCAGGAACAGGGAACGCTGCCATTGGCAGCGATGTCTCATAGAAGTACATTTCAACCGAAGAAAACTCCGATATAAGTAAATTAGCAAATGAGACGTCTGTTTAATTTTAAGTTTGAAGTAACATTTGAGTCCACTGGCTGCTGCCAATTGCAGACAAATGTTTAACGGAAGATTTTATTTAAATGAGAAACCTTTGACCTATTTGCGAGTCATCGTCTGGTGTGGTTGTTTTAAACAAATGTCACTGGTTTTGACGGTCCGTACATTTTGTATATCATTTTTGTTGTACGTGGTGTTGAACTGTATTCTCTCCGTTATATTTCAATAGCCCTATTAGCATGATGCCATGAGATGAATACATTTACATTTGGAACTCTGACAGCTAGCAGTGTACCACCTTGTATAACAGCGACCGTATTTGTTTGTCTTATTCCCCCCCGTGGTAGTCAGTCAATGAGGTTGCCCCTGTCATGCGCACGTGTATGTGTGTGTGTGCGTATGTTTGCGCGCGTGTGCACGTGTGTGTGCGTGTGTGCTTTTGCGTGTGTGCATGTGTGTGCGCGTGTGTTTGTGGGGAGCGGTAGTGCAGCGGTTAGCGTGCCGCGCTACGAACCCGGCCGCCTGAGTTCGATTCCCGCACATGGCCAACACCAGTGACGATTATCTGAACCGGTCCCCTAAGTCGACTCAGCCTCAGACAAGTACCTGGACAAAGGCGGCCGGGCGTGGTGCTGGCCACCCACCCCTTTCGTTCTGGCCTTCATAGGTGCTACTCGCTAACAGCACTTGCCCCAACAGTCTGTTATGGCTTCATGGGGGGATATCTTTGTCTCTGTCCTTGCGTGTGCGTGTGCGCGCATGTGTGAACGTGTTTGACAGGTGGGGCTCCCGGCGAAGTCGGGCGTGGGAGGGGGCATTCTCCTGGTGGTCCCCAACGTTATGGGCATCATGTGCTGGTCCCCCCCACTCGACAAACTCGGCAACAGCGTCCGGGGCATCCACTTTAGCCAGGTGGGCCGCAGCTCACACGGCCTCTCCCCTGCCCCCCCCCCCCCCCTCTCAACATCACGGCCGCACCTTCAACTGAGTCTCAAAATAAATGAGAGGAAAGGTCCAGGCACCATCGAGGGAATGTTTGGCAAGCTCCTGCACGCTGGATAAGTGTCTTGGAAGAGGTGCGAGGACCGACGATTGACGTGTGCGGCTACCTCTCGCTTTTACGCGGGGGGGGGGGGGGGGGATCGTGTTCTCGGAAAACGGCGCGTTACTCAAAAGTCGCGTCAATACAACGGAATAAATCGTTAAAAAATGCCTCTCGTATTCAACCACCTTCAAGCGGATACCTCTGGTGCTGCCAACAAGCGACGCTTCTGGTTTATTACCATCGCCTCGCAGCCGGAATAAGTTTACGACTGAAGGTGTTCACAACAACCACCCCCCTCCCCTCCCCTTGCTTTCTTCCTGTCGAGCAGGAGCTCGTGTCAATGTTCAACTTCCACAACTACGACGACCTCAGGCACTTTGACAAGAAGCTGGACCCACGGCGCGAGGGCAGGGAAGCTCAGGTGAGCACACAGCACTCACGCCGTTAGCCGGGGTTGGCGGATCATCGCCCGTACACACGCATTCGTGAAACTTCATCCCTACCCCGTGGACCCGCCCGTACTGGGCATCTGTAAAAAAAAAAGAAGTTTTATAGCTCAACGGATTCCTCCAGTCTCAGTAAAGATTCTGATTCGGAATGTTGTGGGTTTACTCTCCAACACACCGGTGTGCTGACGTAGTAACTAACTGGCACTTTGTATTTACGTGACAAACCTTGCTAATTGGCTGTGTCGTGTGGTGGAGGGTTAACGACACAGTTATATTCACATGATCTAACCCCAAAACAACTTTAATGTGAATCATAATATTGGCTGAGAATACTTATGTGTTACGTGACACTGGTACATCTTTACCCGTTTTACAATTTCTCTATCGCTTCCTCGGTTGGCGACAAATTCTGCAGAGCTCTTAAGAGTCCCTTTCAGCGTGAACTATATGGCATGCCGAGTTCTGGTTCTATGCAAAGTGTTCAAACGAGCACGGCAGGAGCCTGATCTTCTTGAACAAACCTGAGCCAGAGGTGTACATGCCACATTCGTGTGGCAAGGACCGGTCACTGACGGCCTACACAAAGTGGCCCTCCTCTTGATGACCCCAGAGATATAATGGCATTTTATTGACCCCTGGGTTGACCCCCAACTGGAATCTGAACTGCCAACCTTCAGAGTCAAGCACTCTGCCACAATTCTACCCCCGTTGGGTGGGACGTTTGTGCACAGTACATGTACGTGTGACGACGAATGATCTGTCTTGCTTTGCAAGTGAAGCGGTGATTGTAAGTAGGACCTCGCGTAGGCGTGGGCTAAATGTCTCCTTGTGCTCACCTCTTAGGCTAAAACGGTGGTGAACGTCCTCTTCGCTGCCTATAGCGGGGATGTGTCGGCACTTCGAAGGTAAACGTTGCATTTTAAATTTACAGAACCTTGCACGAAGCATCAGACTCCGTTGCAGCGGTATACGCGATGCACGCGTGTGTAAACACTTGTTCAACGTGTGTCAGTAATGAATGAAAATCCATGCCATATAAGGGGGAGAACATACAAACTGTACACATGAAAGCGCCCGAGACACAAGACTTACCGTTGCTCCACCCTGCCGCCTTACGCTTGCGTGCGTGCTTGCGTGTTTATTGCTTTGCCGTAGATACGCCCTCTCGGCGATGGACATGGAGCACAGGGACTACGACTACAGGACGGCGCTGCATGTGGCGGCAGCAGAGGGTGAGTCCTTCCCCGTTGATCAAAATCTCTCGGGACTTACGAAATGGTCGTTGGCCAAACATTCAGTTCTTTTGAGCTGCTGGTCTGGAAAAGGCCGAGAGCTTTTGCACCCCCCGATCAGCACGGCCGGCTACGTGCGGCACCAAAGAAGTTCAACGTACGTGTACGCGCACGCAGTGCACGTCTCTCGGTGCTACGAAATCCGTTACGCTACGGCGGGCAGCGTGGCACTGTGCCGGCGGTTTGGCTGCGGGCGACGGAGCCCCTTGACGCTGGGCTAAGCTACGCGAGTGAGAGATGGCGGGCGGGTGCGGCTCTCCGGAGCCGCCGCTTCTATCCCCGGCGGTGTGATCGCCCCCGTGCGGTATCGAGCCAGGCCATGACCTCTGCCCCCCACCACCCCCCACCACCCACCACCCACCACCCACCCCCCCCCGGGCCGTGTCGTGGCAGGGCACTTGGACGTGGTGCGGTTTCTCTTGGAGTGCTGCAACGTGAGTCCCACGCCCAGAGACAGGTGGGTGCGCTGCGTGGCGCCGTCGCTCCACCGCTCTGTTATGCAACGGAATCGGACACCCGGCGAAATCACCGATAGGGAGATCTGCCCATGTACAGTGTGGAAGAAAGTAGGCGTGGTGTTGCCCAAAGGGGGGTGTGTCTTTGCCCGTGTACGGCCTTGTGTATCGTGAATCGAGGTTAATCGTATCGATTCTGCTCGGTGGATCCGGCAGCCAGCTCCAAGTCGATCGTAATTACGGATCAATCGCAGTCTCGATCCATGGATGATATCGTCATGTGACACACCCCCTTTATTTTGATTGGCTGATATCTGCATGATCGGTGATTCCGTCACAGTCCGTTTTTATTGTATTACAGCGCCGCCTTTATCTTTGTCCCGGCTGTAAACCCGTGAACGCCATGTAAAGATATAGCTGTAAATAAAAACGGTACTATTTTTATCTTTGATTTGTTTTATGTGCACACTGCATAGCTGCATCAGACCACGTGAATGCGTGTCTGTATGCGTGGGTGTGTGCGCGTTCGTGTGTGTGTGTGCGTGCGTGTTTGTGTGTGAGTGCATGTGAGTGTGTGCCTGTTTGCGCGTGCTTTGTGCGTGCGTGCGTGTGTGCGTGCGTGCGTGTGTGTGTGTGCGTGTGTGTGTGTGTGTGCGTGCGTGCGTGTGTGTGTGTGCGTGTGTGTGTGTGCGTGCGTGTGTGTGTGTGTGTGTGTGCGTGTGTGTGTGTGTGCGTGCGTGTGCGTGCGTGTGTGTGTGTGTGTGTGCGTGTGTGCGTGTGTGTGTGTGCGTGTGTGTGTGTGTGTGCGTGCGTGCGTGTGTGCGTGCGTGCGTGTGTGTGTGTGTGTGTGTGTGTGCGTGCGTGCGTGTGTGTGTGTGCGTGTGTGTGTGTGTGTGTGCGTGCGTGTGTGTGCGCGTGTGTGCGTGCGTGTGCGTGCTTGCGTGTGTGCGCAGGTGGGGTAACACGCCGATGGCCGACGCCGTGCTCTTCGGACACTCGGACGTGGCCCAGCTGCTCCGGGAGTACGAGCTCAAGTACGAGCAGGAGGAGAGCGTCGCCGACAGCGCCCGGGCCTTGCAGGGGAACCCACAGGACATGGCCTAGCAGCTCCCGACCGCGAACGTTCGCGCAGAGCGAGGGGGGCCCTGGGGCCGACCGGGCCGCACTTGAGCTCGACCTCCGGCAAGAGGCCGCTCGGGCTCAATGGAAGCTCTGAGGCTGAGCAAGAGGGTGCCTGGGCTGTGAATGTGGCCATCAGACTCTGCTGATGTCCAAGTTGTGGGCCCCCCTCTGGGCTGGGGCGGATGACTGTCAGTGTTAACGAGAAGGCTTGGTACCGTGATACGTAGATGGATGTTCGTCGTCGTCCGAGTGTGCAGTCTGTGAAGCGTAATCTTAGGACATTGCAATTTGAAGCTCCCGTTGCAAATGTGAATTTCACTCCGACAGGCATCCTTGGTCAAGAACAAGTAGCACACTATAGGATAAGTATCAGGAACAGTGGTGGCTTGTCATTAGGGGCTAGTGGAACATGGCCCCACAGTGATATATATTAAAACAACTTTAGGAATACATATTTGCACGTTAATGTGCTCGTGGCACGTTAACGTTTTTGCACGAGATAAAATACAATTTCTCAAAGGGATGGCTAATCGCAACTGGAAACTAAAACGACTGCGTAGCAGCTCCGCGGTGAGCAAGCGTGCGAGCGATCGTGAAGAAATGCCGCTGCTGCCGCTACCGCTGCTGCTGCAGGGCTGGTCCCTAGCAGCAGCCGCTGTGAAGCGAGGACGCTGGGCTCGGCAGTCACAGGACCAGGCCAGGGCTGCTGCGCAGCACGTTTGTGCCCTCACGGGGCTTCTCTCTGCGGGCAGTGAAGAAGCCCGGGATAGTCCGGGGCCCCTTCACTGCTGTGCCCTGCTACACTTGCGAGTTACTACACCACCACCCCCCCCATATCCCCCCAACTCTATAGGCAGCCGTACAACAACAGCTGTGGACTCGCTATTTTGGTTTCTTGTCGACCAGAGGATTGACATGGTGCAGGTGCGCTCTGTGTGTGTGTCGTGGGGCCAGTCGTCTTTTGGTCAAACAAAACAAAAACTGCTGATTCCTTTCAGAGTCCCCTGTTGTAAATTGAGTTTAAGTTGTTTCTCATGTACTGCGTTGTTTTTACTCATGAGTACTTAAGGACATAAAATATAGTTATGTATATACTGTACATGAATTATTGTACAAATGTTTTTAATCGCGTGTTTGTGTGAGCGGTTGGGCTATGCATGACGTAGCTAAACATCCAGATTTCAAGAGCCTTATAGCTGAGCAATTCAAATTTTACTCTTTAATACGATTAAGGCCTTAGTTTACTTGCTAGTCACTTTTACCGACGTCCAAAACTTATTGGACACCTTTGGGCCCAGTGTTCCTGTAAGGCGCATGGTGAGAAAAACCAATGTCCTCGTTTAAGGTACACTCAGATTTCAACCAAATTTGAATTTGGTTTGATTCAATCAAACTCAAGGTTTAGCAGTCATCAAAGCCGATGTATTTGTTGTCACCTATACCTTGCCATCGCTTCCTTACTTCTGACAGATCACACAGCTGTTGTAAAGTCAACAGCCAATTTCCATGGTACACTATTATTCCCCTGCCATCTGGCTTGCATTTTTTTTCTTGGGTTTCTGACTTCTGGCCATCCACTCCAGTGTTTGTGTCAGTAATCGCCCTCCGCTCTCCAACAATATTACAATTGTGGCATTTTGTTTCAGATTGGATATGCATAGTTTCATGCACTCACACTAGCAAAGAGTCATCGGTTGATTTCTTGCAGCTACCCTGTACATTTTGCCGTGATTTACCTGGGTCTTGTTCAGTGAATGTTTGCAGCTTGGCTAAATCTATTACTTCAATATGTATTTTTCTAATTATCGGATGTATAACTCCATTAATCAGTCAGCCCTGTGCCACGTGTACCGCTGGATGGGAAGTGATGAGCGCGTGCCTGGCGAGGATCATGTTGAGGTTGGCCGCCATTTTGAAATGTGCCCATATAATCGACCACAGAAAAGTAGTTCATTACTCTTCTTATTTTCTAAATACGTTTTTATCAATAAATCGTCACAGCCCTATACATATTTTTGATTCTGTGTTTCAAGGTGTTGCAATAAACTGCCACCTTGTATAAGTATATGGGTTTATTGTGTTTTAAATTTGTTCAAACCACAATAAGATGGCCAGCAAAATATGTAAAGAAAAAAACCTGTAATCCTTAAATTCTGACAAGAGTTTTGACATCGCTGAATACAAATCTTGTATTGTAATTGCGAGTGATGGCCTTGATGGTAAACCTTTAGACTTGATGTATTTCTCATGAGGAGACCTAAAAACTAGAAATTAGTGTTGTGAAGCACATAAAGCCTTAATGTATTTCATCTTTAAATCGTTGTTAGGGTGGACATTTTTTTCATTTTCGCTTTGTGTGCAAGGCTTCCTCGGAACATTTCTCAATCGGGCAACACAAAAGCCGGAGAAACAAAACCTTCAGATGTAATGCAGCTGCTGTGCATGGTGCTTGCCTGCATCTGGGCCCTTCTGCAGGACCTCCACAGATTGTAGCAGTTCGACACTGGGCGAGCAATCGGCGAACTTCCCTGTGGCAGATGCCACGCCATTTTCTGTGGACATAACGTGGCATGATGCATTCGTTTTTTTTGGCACAGATCGTTTACTCTTTAGGGTATTTTCTTAAAATTCTACTCCAAGCCTTGGGTGTCCTACTCTTGAAAACTATTCTCTACACATCTTGTGCCAGGTGTAAGCCACGTGTACATATTGCAATTTGTTTCGAAGGTGAACACTGCTTTATTTAAGGGATGGTTACTTTCCGTACCATGTTTTGTACGTTGTCGAGTGTAAGATGTGGAATAAGCACACCATCAAGGTGCTTCCTGCACTTCTGGCTGTGTTGGACTTGAAGCACATTTTAAGTGAAGCATTGTTTTTGTTTGCCAAGTGCTGTTTGTGTGTTGTTTTCCCAGCGTGAATTAAAGCACATTTCTTCATTGGCTCTGCCTTGCTTTAAAACTAGCGTGCTTTGTGTGTGGTATAGGCGAGCCAAATAGAGAATCATCTCAATCAAAGTGTCTCCCTATTGAAGTGAGCAGCGCTTATCACCGTTGGAGCGCTTTTCCCAGAAGTGCAAATTCCACATTCTTCTGACGGGGAACATTTTCACCTGCCCAGACGATAACAAATAGTTATGACCTTTAACCAGAAAATTATCAGTGGTTGTGAGACTTTCAGCAGTCGTGTAATGAGGTTTTTCACCCATTCAGTGTATTTCAAAAAGCATTCCGTATTTTGCTTGTGGAAGGAAACCAGAATATCTGATGACTTTGAATCAAAGACAGAAAGTCCCCTGATCTGAATGAGCAAACGGCTCGTACTCATTATTATTGGCATTCCTGGGTCAGGTGTTCAAATTTCATATTCCCATGGTCTCTTAATAGGATATCCAATGTTAACTTTCCACAGGTACATTTAATCACCCTCAGATGCATGAATCTTCCTCCATGCTGAAATGAATCCCAATCTTTTATGGTAAATTATGGCTACGTGAACAATTCACGCTCACTGTATATGGGGAAGAGTAGACTTGCAACCATGTCAAATGTTGGTCGTTTTGTAGTCGAGCTTATCAACACAGTTGACTCAGAATGCGGTAAGATAATTTACAAATGCATTCACTATAAATAAAACGTGAGCAATTGCAACGCCCATGAACGCTTAAGTATAATTAATGATGGACCAACCGTGCTGAAGACCAAATGCCAGAGTGGCCGCTAAAGGAGAGAACTACCCAAGAGGATCTCCACTGAGACCACATTTTTGACATTCATGAAATCGGCTCGTGCGCAGGGGCTAGGATGATGGCTCGTTGCATCGCGAGACTGAGACAGATGGTGACGGCTTGGGGAGACCTCCGTTGACCGGTGAATAGACCGCGGCTAACGATAGAGCAAAGGGGAAATCCAGCTGATAACACCGATGGCTCCACATTGTAACATTCTGCTAGATCCTGCAATCGGCTGCACTGTTGAGGCTAAACAGGATGAACTTGGGGCTTCTGGAGGACCACTTCTGTTGACTCCGTATAAACGTGTAGTGTAATAGCGCCGTCTGTTGTCCAGCAACGGTAACTGCGGCGGACGAGCAGCACGCGCGCCGGTGAGCAGAGACACGGCTGTGTGCCGGCAGGACGGAGGAACTGGGGTCAAGGGTCATGGAAGACCCCATCTGGAAGCCCCTGGAACCTGCTGGTGGGTTCGAGAAGGGAGGCGTGGCCAGGGCGGAGCCAGGTCGCGCTGGGTGGCATAACAGCAGCTGAGAGCGGGGAGCTCAGGACAGCCGGTTCTGGGAGTGGACTCGTCTCGTCGTCGCTGTCTTTGCCGTATTCCTCGCTGCCGTCTTCGTTAGAGATTGCGTGGCCGGACAGTTGAAGCAATTGGCGGGACCCCGGGGTCCCATCACTGTCCCGGGGTGGGAAAAACCGTGTAGCGACACGAGTCTTGTTGCCTTACCGACAACAAAACTAGTGTTAATCGATTGGTCCTCGTCGAGAGCTACTCGGGGCACTAAGTTTCATAAAAAGTTGAAAAATTACATAAACACTGCGGGGGGCGGGCGGGCGGGCTCGCCTTGGCAAAGAAGCTGAGGATCGACGGCTGACCGGAGGGCGTCGTCGCCGCGCGCGACTGCGGTGGACGCCCCCCGGGGCTCGCGTTTGGCCGGTGGGGTGGCGCCCATCGTGTCGATCGCCGCCTGCTGCTGGCGCTTGTTGGTGCGGCGAGTCTGGGCGGGCGGCGCGTTACTGTCGGGATCACGAGTGGCGGACTGAAAAATAATAATTATTGACCTGATTTTTGCGGGACCCCGGGGTCCCGCCAAATGATTCAGTTGTTGGCCGTCTCGGTGGGTGCCATCGGTGTTACACGGTCAGGGTTATGTTGAGGCTAGGCTAGACGACTACGGAGAGTGCGAGGGCGAACCTGTGAAGACGTGAATAAAGAAGGTGCTCCTGAAAAAGCTTGTCTCTCGCTCCGCTGACACTACAAATGGGTAAGTGTGGATGACAGGAACATTTTACCACAAATGTCGGTTGTGATAAACCCGTAAGCAACTTGGGTGAAGTTTATGTTTGTTAAATGTACGTATACTTTTACTTATTTGCTGAATTTAAACAGTGAATTTTGGGTGGGGCACAGTCCATGACTCGACTATCACGGTTGGCTACGTACGTGCAAAACAAGTTCACCTTACATGACCTCCTTGAATAGTATTTTTTTATCGCACCCGTGCCGTGATTTTTATTCTGGATAAGCGTGCCTTAGCTGTGATGTTACTCCCAGTTAGACGGCAGTATCATGTTCGTACACTTGGTGGTGCTATGTGCCCATGCATTGTTCCTTCTGACTAGAAGTCATCGGCTATTCAGTGCCAAAGATACCACCAGTACCTTCGGCAGGCACCAGCTTATCCGCAAGACTTTTAACTGGTACATCGTCACAAGATGGTGATTAGTTTACCAACCGCAGAGGGACGATGATGATGGAATCGCACCGATTGGTAATGCTATATATCGTTCACGTTTTGCTGTACTTACAGCAGAGGTAGTCCGCGGTGATGTGATTGGTTTGGTAGTCTCCACTGGTATGGTCATGCAAACACAAGCATTGCATTTCATCGAAGATTTCTCCAGCTTCGCAATCAAACACCGCGATACGAAGTGCTTTAAAAAAATCAATTATGGTAAATAAATATAACTATACTAATTATAACATTACATTAATCCGACGCTGCACGTCATAGATTTTTGGAGGAATTAGCCGCTCCTAAAAAGATTTCCAGAAATCCGCGATTTATTCGCGGATTTCAGGATCAACAGTCCCACGGATTATGGGGGAAGAGTTGCAGACCGCGGCTAACCGACAAATGTACAGGCATTTGCGGATTGTAGGAGTGCTGCAGTAGTTCATTAGCAATCATGTTATGTTGCCACTGCCAGCCTGGCAAGGCTTATTCTTTAAACGCTGGTTTTATCGCCAAATGTTGGATAATCTTGGAAATCAATTTAGCTAGATTCCTATAGGGTAGAATCCTGGATAGCAACACAACTCGATTATAAAACCTGGATCATCTTTACAAGGGTCGTAATGGCCATACATTACAAAAAGGCAGACAGAGCTAATGCAACAACGTTTTCACCTAAGTTCGAAAGTGTTAACAAAAAAATAACAGGCATTAATTTGTGGCTTTGAAGGACTTTACCTTCGGAATAAAAATATGAACACCAGCAAAATGCTTCAAAAAAGCCACTTGCTGATATAATTAGGAAATCAATAATTAACACAAAGAGCCCGAACAACTGAGCCAACCATCCATAATGAGTCCTATAAATCTTTGCATGGCAACGCATTGTTTGCAACTGATGTTGGTTCATTGGAACTCCTCGCGAGTTCACGTTACTTAGTGCTCACACTCTGAGTTAAGGTCTCCAATCTGCACGGCCTGGCTGCCTTCCACCTTCTCCAGCACCACAAACAAGGCGGGTTTGTAAAACAGAGAATTCTTTCAGAAACTGTGTGAGCGGTAGATTAAAGAATGCTGATCTGCAGGTGTAAATACCTGTAAGTCTACCCCCTGTAGTTCATGCTCTTGTGTCTCAATATAAGCAGCTCATGGTAATGTTTAAATTCAAGGTGCTTTGGAATGGGAAGTCATTCATTGGCTTGAGGGAGTTGTTCCCAACCTGTGGTCCGGAGGTGGAGGGAAAGGATCTGCAGAACTCTCGCGGATAATTTTATGTAGAATTCGTTCGTCGCTGGCACTGGAATCGATTTTGAATTCATGAATTTTTGCAATCCTAGACCTTCTCGTCGTAGTAGTAATAATAATAATCATTTAAATATTTCAACAGCCGTTTGTAAATCCACTTCTGGTGCTGGTGGGTGAACACGAATGTGGAATTCCTAACGCTGGTGCATGGCCACCAACAGAGGTGAGTAACACCACCACCACCACCTGCAGCGCTTTGAGAAGTGAAAGGTCGCCGCGAACTTTAATTTCAAGAGAATTTAAAGAGGCTGTTCTAATGAATGCATTGCAAATGGTGATGAACATGCACAAAGCCTTAACAGACTTGGGGCAAGTGCTGTTAGCGAGCACCTTATGAAGGCTGGCACTGCACACGAGGGGTTGGTTGGCTAGCACCACGCCCGGCCGCCTTTGTCTCCCTAATGGCGATGTTTACTCACTACTCCTTTGAGGCGGAGTCGATCTAGAGGAGGCCCAGGGCCGTTGCAGATAATCGTCACTGGTGTTGGCTGTGAGTGGGAATCGAACTCGCGTCACCACAGAAAAACATTAAGGCCGTCATATTCAATCCGAAGTGCAGATGGGGAGTGAAGCAGACTGGGGGCGTGTGGTAGAGAAGGGAGGAGCTGCCTGGAAAGGAGAAGCATTCTTCTCCATTCTTGGCATGATCATTCTGCTCTTTGTCCAATACTCACAAAGCCTTGTCATGGATATGGTATTACAGCATCACAGAGCAACACTACCACATTATCATTTATTGTTTCATCTGTGTGCAAGGCAAAATGTACTTTGCATAAAATAATTGCGTAATATTGAATCCAGCTGAGTGTCGTCGCGCGCAGAGCGCTCGTCTCATCATTAGCATTGCGCGAGATGAAATAGCGGCCAAGGGTCTGTTCAACACATCATTCCTCCAGCCTCAATAACAAACACTGCTGCACCTTGGGGAGGGGGGTCATGCTATCGAGCGGCTCGCCAACACCACTACAATGTGGGACTCGCACTGCTGGCTCTGGGCCACGTGGATGGATGAGTCTTCGCTCACATGCGATCGGTGGCCTTTTGGCTTCGTTCACGTCTGCTATGTACGCATGTTTGCTGGACTTCTTTCGCACCGTACGTAGCCGATCGTGCTCATCGGAGATGCGTCTTTGAGATGTGGTTACGTTTCGAAACTGTATTCATCCGCGTT